AAACCTCTTTTGCCTGATTTATTTTTATTTTTCTTCCTAGTATTCATCACTGTCCTCTATATTCCATATTTATTTGTTTGTTTGCTTATTGTCAGTCTCTCCCTGTCCATGAGAGCAGGAAATTTTGTATGTTTTGTTACTGGTTTATCTCTAGAACCAAAAATATTTACTGGCACATAAGTAGATGCTCAATACATAAATATTCTTCTTTTATAATCTAAAGGTCATGGGCGCCTGGGTGGCTCAGTAGGTTGAGTGTCCAACTTCGACTAGGGTCATGATCTCATGGTTCATGGGTTTGAACCTCGCATGGAGATCACTGCTGCCAGTACAGAGCCCGCTTTAGATCCTCTGTCCCTCTCTCTCACTGTCCCTACCCCATTCAGGCTCTCTTCTCTCAAAAATAAATAAATATTTTTAAAAAGTCTATGTAATTCGAAGGTCATTGTGATGAGAACAAAAGCAAGAAAATTTAACTTATATTAAATCTCCTTACAACTTGGAGTCCTCTGATAAATATCTGAGACATGCAGAGTGTGACACTCCTCAAGCAACTGATGGCTGCCTTAATGTTGATATTTTATTAGGGACTAAAAGCAACCTCATCTTGACCACAGCCAGACCTCCAAAGGCCTGTAGTCCCTGCTTTCAGCATACAGAAATTGCTTAGAAATTTACACTAGCTCTACCCCCACTTCCTCCACAAACTTAAAAATATATCATCTGTCACACCTCTCATTTATAGGACCCCTCTTTCTGCCCAAGGATCTTCTCCCTGTGCTATAATAAAAACACATTTTTTGCACTAAAAATGTCTCAAGAATTCTTTCTTAACCATTGCTCCCAAACCCAGACTTCAAATCGTATCAATAGCATGTTCTATATTGCATCACTTAGCACTTAGTTATAGTTAAATTAGAAGTGTGAATCTTATGGTGCCTGGGTGGCTCAATTGGTTAAGTGTCAAGCCCTGCTCTGGGCTTCATACTCTCTATCCCTCTCTCTGCACCTCCTGAGATTCTCTCTCTCTGCCTCTTGCTCACTTGAGCTCTCTCTATCAAAAATAAATAAATATATAAATTTATATTAAAAAAAGAAGTGTGAATTTTGTCTCTTTCAGTGTATTTCTAAGACAAATACAAATAATTCCTGGTATCCTTCTATATTTTCTTCTTCAACAATGCATTTTTTTTTCATTAAACAGTCACTAGATGTATGTTGAGTGTTTGTTGTATGTCATTATATGCCAGGTCCTATTCTTTTAGCAAAACTTCAGGAGCTCACAGTTACACATAAATACATGGATACACATAGAGGCAAGAAACAAGACTGAAAGAAAGAATAGTAAAAGGGCGACTAGTAAAACTGAGAATCCAATATTAGTATGTGGGGACAGAGTGTACAGGGTGAGTGTGACAGACTGAGTGGGTAGAAAAAGGAAAAAAGACAGAATGGGAAGAGACTAGAGGAGGATGCTGCCAAAGTGATCACCAGATGCTAGTGCTTAATATAAACTTTACTTAAACAGATATGCAAATATATTCTACATGAATTTTTTAAATTCACGTTTCAAAAGTTATCTGCTAGTAATCCTGGGGGGTAGAAATTAGATTAAGACTAGCGACATCTGGTGGATATTTTGGAATTGATCCTTGAATTTCTCTACTGTGTCACACTACCCAAGTCTCCATACCTCTGGACTGACATTCATAATATGTTAGGGGTCATAACTACACTATCATGAAATCATCTTTCTGCAGGACCTGAGATGTCATTGCAAGATGTTGCCAGATTTCTACCAAGATACCTTCTATCAGCTGATGACCCTCTGCCTTCTGGAGGATGTATATATAATTTGACACCAGGATTCTTCCTTTAATAGGTAACATATTACTTAAAATATTCATATTCTTTGACCCAGGGATTCTACTTCTGGAACTCTACCCTAAGGAGGAAAAAAGTCTTAAATGAGGAAATCAATTCATCATTTATAATGGATGCGGGGAACCTAAAAGTCCAACAAACAGAAAAATGGTCAAGAAAATTAGAGTCACAGGGGTGCCTGGATGGGCTCAGTCGGTTAAGCATCCGACTTCAGCTCAGGTCATGATCTCACGGTTCGTGGGTTCGGGGCTCTGTGCTGACAGCTAGCTCGGAGCCTGGAGCCTGTTTCAGATTCTGTGTCTCCCTCTCTCTCTGACCCTCCCCTGCTCATGCTGTCTCTCTCTGTCAGAAAAAAATTAAAAACATTAAAAAAAAAAATTAGAAGCCTTATAATGTTTACCAAACATTTGTAGCCATATTAAACAAATATTTTAACAATTTCATATTAACAAACATTAAGTTAAAAAAAGCAAAAGTCTGGGGCTCCTGCGTGGCTCAGTCAGTTAGGCATCTGACTTCAGCTCAGCTCATGATCTCATGGTTTCTGAGTTTGAGCCTAGCATCAGGCACTGTGCTGACAGCTCAGAACCTGGAGCCTGCTTCAGATTGTGTCCCTCTCTCACTCTGCCCCTCCTCTACTCATGCTCTGTCTCTGTCTCTCTCGAGAATAAATAAACATTAAAAAAAATTTTTTTAAAAGCAAAAGCCAAAAAGTGTGGGCATAATTTGGTCTTAAATATGTAAGTAATTACACATAAAAAGGCTAGAAGAAAATACTACATTCTAAAATATTAAGTGATAGCTTCTGGATAGAAGCATTATGGGTTTTTTTTTAAAATCATGGTTTGCAATATTTCTTAAATGCTCTATAATTAACATGAATTATTTCTTTTTTTTATTAACTTTTTTTTTAATGTTTTATTTATTTCTAGGAGAGAGAGAGAGAGAGCGCGTGAGCAGGGGAGGGTCAGAGAGAGAGGGAGTCACAGACCGAAACAGGCTCCAGGCTCCGAGCTGGCAGTCAGCACAGAGCCCGACGCGGGGCTCGAACCCACGAACCGCGAGATCATGACCTAAATGAAAGTCGGACGCTTAACCAACTAAGCCACCCAGGCGCCCCTAACATGAATTATTTCTATAACAAACATTGTTTAAATCTTTTAAACAATGCATATTCTGACTAATTGCTAGAATTTTTCAACCTCTTCCTGGTTTTATTAATGATGAATCAAGAGAGCTAGAATTTCCACAAGGGGAAGCAAGAAAAGAAAGCAAATGTATGACAGTTTTGTTCCAGGATCTGAGTCCTGATGGAGAAATCCCCCAGTTGCAGAACTGTACTAAAATTCAATTAATGTCATCACACTCCTTTCAACAGTACACCAGAAACTTACAGAGGGCTCTGCGGGCATCAGGGAGTTATAGAGTCTCCTAACCACTTGAGTCCCCATCTTCGGAGTCCCTAGAAAAGCCGGATCAGGGCCACCTTAAAATAGGAAGAGGGAGAATGTGCAAAAATACAGAACAGGGAAAAAAAATTCCAAAGATAAACCAATCTATTAGGGTCAGGCTCCTGCTCCAAATCTACCAACATATGCCATCTAGCTAGAAGTTTCAGAAATAGTACCCTGGTTAGCAGGAAATCCAGCCAAAGATACTATAATCACAACAGGGCTATCCCAAGGGCATTTTAAAAACTAGCCAGTTAGGCTTAGTAATAATAAAGTAAAGAGCAATGCTTCCCTATCAGTCAAGCAAGGATGTATTTTCTCTCCTCCCTACATTTATCAGTCAATGACCATAGGAAGGATTCTGAAGACAATCAGGACAAATACTGGGGGCTCTGCTTCTGGCATGCACTTCCATTCATCCTCAGGAATTCCGTTTTAACCTAGACAGGCTGCATTTATATTTTATGGAAGAAATGTTTTACATAGTACTTTAAGTTTACAAAGTGTTATCACCTACAGTATATTAGACCGACATGGTAAATAACGTTGGAAATGAAGTTCACTTTATTAACCCCCAGCTAATAGTAACAGGCTAGGGAGTTCCTCTGCCAATTAGTGATGGAGTAAGTTTTCTAGTCACTTCTTCTGAATCCACTTGCACGAGGTCTGTGCCAGAGAACAAGCTGGGAAAGTGATGATGATGATGATAATGGCAGCCGATAATTGGCTACAGACTATATACTGTTCCAAGTGTTGTTTTTTTTTTTTAACTCCAAACATTCTACGAAGTTGGTACTATTATTTACCAACTATTTCGTGCTGTGATTCCATTCTCAATACTGTGTCGGCCTTAAGGAATTATCCGTCTCAGGGATCAACTGAGGGGCGTTGGTATTTGGGGAGAACAGCGTACAGACTGAAAGGGGGCGTGCGTTACTACTCGGGTCTCCAAGCTCTCAAAGTCTGAATCAGAAACTTCATCCTAAGCACCTGTAAGGCTCAGAGCCGGTTCTGAACCTGAAACTTCCGCCTGCTTCTTTTCAACACTTCCCCCGCACCCCCATCTCACCCCTCCATGTGTCCTCATTTGTGATCTGGATGCTCAGCCAGTGGTAATTATGTTTCCCAGGCACCTCCCACCTTTAGCACCTACCTCCTATTTCACCCGTACGTCTGGTTCAGCATCTCTGACCCCAGCTCTTCTGAGCAAGGCCTCCCGCTGCCGCGCCGCCGCCGCGCCGCCGCCGCCGCCGCGTTCCCGCTGCCATGGTGACGCGGAGGCCAGCCCGATCTCGCCCCGCCCACCTCCGGCTGGCGCGAGCCAGTCCCGGCTGACCTGGGCCCCGCCCCCTGCCCGTCCGGCCCCGCCTCCGGCCGAGACCACAACCCCGCGGGCCTTGACCCCGCCCCCTGCCTTCCCGACAAGCCTCCTGCGGGCGGAGACAGCCCCGCCTCCTGCCTGCCAATCTCCCGCCCGGGGAGTGCCCGCCTTCTGCAGTTGAGAGCCCGCCTCCTCGGCGTGCAAACCTCGTCTCCCCTGTGTCCCAGCCAAGGCCCGTGGAGTAGGGCGCCGGGAGTCTGGATTTCCCCACCGCCCCTAGGCTGAGCGAGACCCGCTGCACTGACGTGGAGCCCGCAGACCCCCACCCTGCAAAACGCACCAGGCATGTTCCTTATGCGATTTATTGATCCTAGCGACTCTGCGCCTGAGAGCCAACAGTGCAGCCAGGGGGAGCTTCTGGGCCATGCAGTGCTGTCAGTGACTTGAAATACAGGCAACCGGTGGTCGGGGAATCGCTTCCTCCACGCCTCACCCCTGCCCTCGTTTGTCTTTTTAGGTTCTGGGACCTTTGACCCAACCATTGAGGGAATTGCCCAAGCCAGCCCTGGGGACTGTGTGTGAGAACTCGGAATGCTTTATCAGGGCATTTCTTCGGTTTTGAATATAAGGTGTATAAAAGAGACACCATTAAATTAAGCCCAACAAAATCAGTTTAAGTGCTGGGGTAACCCGTTCTTCCTGCACTTTTCTTGAAAGCAAAAGCAAAGGTAGGGGTTAAACTTCCTGCACGCTCCCCTCAGCCCCTCCTTTTGTGAAACTCCATTCCCCGTCCCCCCGCCCCGCCCCAAGCCAACCCAAATACAACTCCAAGTTCACAGTGGCAAACTGAAGGCAGGCCTAGGGGAGAGAGCAAGACTGGGGGCACTCACTGGGGTTCTGGAGTTCTTTAAGTTTAAAAGATGGCAGCCATCTCTGGGCAGCCAGCAAATTCCCCAAAGCAGCCTCTCCCCACGTGAGTGGCGGTGAAATGACAAAACAGGTCCATCCTCCGCCAGGTTCACACCAGGGTGCCTTTCTTGCTGTCATAGCGGGGTGTGGCCTGGGGGAAGCGAAGGGTTGCATACTCTGTAGCATTTTCTAACTGCAGATGCTTCACCTCCAGAGCGGAGCGTGGCTCGGTACAGCTGTACACTTGAATGTCTGCATAATGTAAGCTGCTCTCCTTGGACCGGAGGCCTCCACTCCTCTCCCGAGACGCAGGCTTCTGTAACACCTGCTCATACGTATGTCCTGTTGTGTCAGGGGCCTGCAAGAAATTGACAGCATTAAGGGAGGTACTTGGCTTGCTTTTGCCCCTCACCTACAAACAGGGTCAGCTGTAATGATGTCCCTTCACTTTGCTCCTTTGTGGAGCAGAACGAGCAAGTTCTGGTTCAAGATGACCCAGATGCGTCCCAGGGTGAAAAAGCAGGAACCTTGAATCCCATGTCTGAACAGCCCCCTGGAAGGGACAGAGGCCTGTCGTTACCTTGGTGCCATTCTGCTGCTGCTGCTGCTGCTGCTGCTGCTGTTGCTGCTGCTTCTGCTGCTGCTTCAGTGTCGGTCTTGCTTGGCTTCCTGAGAGGCAGAAATCCAACTTAAATCCATTATCTCTTCCTTGTCTCTACTGAGCTTACCCTCTTTGAGTCTCTATTAAACTAGTATAGTGGGCTTCTAACTAATCTCCCTGCCTCTGGGTTCACCCCTTTTACTGCTACCATCCCCACATCCAAACTCCTTTCACACTCTGCTCCTGATATCTTCCATACTCAGTTTTCACCTGCCCCTAACACAGCTCAACAAACATATGCTGACAGCCCGTGATATGCCAGGCTCTGTGACGCATTCTGGGCACTGAAGAACGAGCAAGCTATTTTCTCTGCCTCAGGGAGCTTACTGTCTACTGGAGGAGGCAAATAATTAGACTATTAACAGTGCAAGGTGGTCAGTGCTCAGATACACCAAACAATTGGTCACTTTCAATCAAGTCAGTCTGTTTCTCCTTCCTTCCTTTCTCCCTTCCTTCTTCCTCTCTTTCTTCTACATGAGATAATGGTACTGCCTGAATTACGCTTTCCTCTTTGCTCCTCTTCCAGCCTGGGGATTTGCTATTATTCCTTCGACGCTGGTGTTTTCGCCTATTCTCCAATGGTGGGAGTCCGTTTCGGCACTAGTAAACTACACTGCAGTTACTTGTTTAGGTGCAATCAAGTCTCTCAAACTTGACTTTCAGCTCTTCTTGTGCCCCTCTGCCTGCTTGGGACCCAGCAGAGCGCCTCACACACGCTATAAGTGCTCGGTTAATTTTTGCCCGGTGAATGAGAGAACAGGCAACCTTGCCACTCTAAGATAACAGAAAGAATGAGACCCAGAGTTTCAGAGCTGGTCTGGGACCCAGTATCCGAAAGATTTCCTCTGCTGTACTGTCTCCCATTATCCCTTCCAAGGCTGCTACTCCTCTTTTTCATCCTTAGGCCCTTTCCAAAGACACTGGTTCTAGTACTTTCTCTTCTCTAATTTGACCACTCCAAGCCCCGACCCCCAATGGCCAGTTACCCATTTTCTTTTTCCTCTGGGAAGTTGATGGGCAGCTCCTGTGAAGGGAAACACAGATCACCCAAGTGTAAGTGTCCTGGTCTCTATCTTCCCACCTTCACCATTTGTTCTGTGGCCTCCTAACAGTCTGGGATGACCTTCCCCAACCTCCCTCTAACAAAGATTCACCCTGAGCCAGCCCAAAAGCATTTATCAAGGGTACCACATCTCTCCCTCGAGGATGGTTCTGGAAGGTGGAGTGGTACAACTGACATAACCAAACCCAAAATACAGCCTCAGGCAATCAGGCGCAACTCGCCAGGGAGATTGTCCAGGGAGATAGTCGGGTTGAGGGCTATTCTGGGATTGTCTAACAGGCTAATCCCAGCAGAGGGTAAGGGAAACCTGCCAAAAAATGGGATATTCCTGGATTTAGAGACCCTCTTGCTACTGCACTCAGTGTTTTATTTTATTTATTTATTTTTTTTTTCAAGGTCTCTGCTAACATGGGGTTCCCATTCTGGGAGTCACGGAAGCTGCCACAACCAGGGTTAACTAGTTAGGACCCCTCCAAGCCCTTTTCTAATCTCCCTCCCTGTTTCCCTGTCCTTGTTTTTAATTAACAGAGAAAGTGAGAGATATTTAACCTTTCACATTCACAGCACAGGGAGCTCTGAATTTGGTGAGTGACTCAGCTGCCCTTGCCCTTGCTGCAGGACAGACCTCATTTCTGAGCTGCAGGACAGACTCCTTTCTGAGCCCCTGGGGTCCCCAGCGGAGCCAGGGTGTCTGCGTGATTGTCAACTGTTTGAATGCCAGAGAAAAACACTTGTCTGAGGAAATAGGCTGAATAGTTTGAGGCTTACTCCGATGCTTTTTCTTGCTAGTATATTTCCAACTCTCACCAGAGCCAACCCTATCTGTTCTGACCTCTGTCTCCGTAAGGAAATTTCCTTCTTTTGCTAACTAAAAAGAGAGAGAGAGAGAGAGAGAGAGAGAGAGAGAGGAGCTTCTAAGTCATGTCCATTTTACTGCTGTGGAAAAATCAGTATTTTCACATACACATTTGACAGAGGTTTCTGTTTTGGTGTGACTTTTGGTTTTAATGCAGCTTGCTGAGTTGAAAGCAGATGGAGTCACCATCTGAACTTTACTGGTGGTTTGGAAGAAAAAAGCTTTGAAACCACTTCTAGGTCTTTCTACTTCTATTTTCTACGTTTGCCACTCCAGCTCTTCCTTTTGTTAATTTAATTTAATTTTTTTTTTTTACCTCTGCCTGGTCATAGCCTTATCCTAGCCTCTAATCCTTTGCCCTTGTTGCTAATATTCTCCTATTTACTTCTACTTAAATGGATGAAGAGAATATAAATTCTAAAGTAACAGACTTGGGCGACCCAATGTTAGTGAATGAAACCTGTTCCCATGTTGGATACTGTCTAATGCCTGGACACAAATGGAATATTCAGTTAGACTCATAGTTGATAGGATTTTAGTTTTAGTTCAGAATTCAGGAAACTAAATGGGCACTTTCATTTATTGGTAGTAGGGGAAAAAATGGCTCAATTTTCCGAGAATGCAATTGACAAGAAGTATAAGGACGCTTAAACATAAGATGTGTACCCTCCGATGTAGCAAATCTATATCCTAAGAAATAATCAGGCACAAATATGGATGCTCATTGTAGCATTATTTACAATTGCAAAAAATAGGAAATACCCTAAATGTTCAACATTGGGAAACCACTACATAAATGGCATCTTCTATAACTAGAACATTATACATCCATTTAAGAAAGATGTGCAGGGGGTCTCCTGGGTGGCTCAGTTGGTTAAGTGTCTGATTTCGGCTCAGGTTGTGATCTTGCAGTTCTGGGGTTCAAGCCCCACATGGGGCTCTGTACTGACAATGTGGACCCTGCTTGGGATTCTGTGTCTCCCTCTCTCTCTGTCCCTCCCCTGCTCATGCTCTTGTCTCCCTCTTTCTCAAAAGTAAATGAAACATTAACAATTAAAAAAAAAAAAGATATTGGAAGAACATATAATAGCATGGAAAACCTTAATCTTTGTAATAAAAAGATAATAAGGCATGTTTTGAGGTAAAAACTATGCACACAGACATTTCAAAATGGTTACGTGGAGGTGATCTTTCTGAGTCACTGTGCAGGTCGGCGTGCATAGGAGAGGTCCAGTGCCCAGATGCTTCAAAGCCTTATTAAAAATGTTTGGGTTCCCACGAAGCCCTACTGTACACAAGATTACCAGGAAATTTGGGTAGGAATGGGATGGATGGGCTTCATTGTTTATAAGATCAGGATAAAAGAGGTAAAGCTTTGAAAGCTTCAAGTCCTGCACCCACTCCTGGTCATCATTAACCAGCTTTACTTGGAGTACACGTCAGATGGAGCGTCAGTCTGGCTGTAAATCTCAGCAAGCTGTTAGATGGGAACATTCAGCATTGCTGCACACTTGTCAATATGTGGTTTCCTTTGTGGTGCAAATAAATATAACTGCGAGGTGCACCAAAAAAAAAAAAAAAAAAAGGATCACGTAGAAATATACTAAAATATTCCTGTCGTTTATGATTGCTGTAAATATATTCAGTATATTTATGGTTGCTTCTTATTTCCTGCTCTTTGATATTTTCCAAATTTTCTGTGGTGAATATTACTTTTGTCATCAGAAAAGAATAATAATGAGGACACCTGGGTGACTCAATTGGATAAGTGTCCAACTGTGGCTCAGGTCATGATCTTGTGGTTTGGGAGTTCAAGCCCCACATCGGGCTCTGTGCTGACACCTCAAAGCCTGGTAAATTCTGTGTCTCCCTCTCTCTCTACCCCTCCCCTACTCATGCTATGTCTCTCACTGTCTCTCAAACATAAATAAATATTTATAAAAATTTTAAAAAAAGAATAATGATAAATATAAAATAAAAATTTTTTTAGTTGTCATACTATCAGCCTCTGTAAGTTTATTGAGATAATGAGAAACAGAGGGAAACGATATTTATCTACTTAAAAGATCTAATATTTATCTACTTAAAATATCTACTAATATTTTAAGAGGAAAAAATGTATTTTGGTTAGAATATCCGGGGTAGTGTTTCTATTTTTTTTTTTTAATATTTTTATTTATTTCTAGGGGAGAGAGAGACAGCATGAGCAGGGGAGGGTCAGAGAGAAAGGGAGACACAGACTCTGAAACAGGCTCCAGGCTCTGAGCTGGCAGTCAGCACAGAGCCCAACGCGGGGCTCAAACCCACGAACCACGAGATCATGACCTAAGTGAAAGTCGGACACTTAACCGACTAAGCCACCCAGGAGCCCCCTGGGGTAGTGTTTCTAGCTAGGCTGTAGTGTTGGACTGATGGCATCAGACTAGCTGTGTGAACTTCAGTAAGTTTTTAGCTTCATCAGGCTTTCATTTTCTTATTAATAAAATGAGGATAATAATAGAACCTAAACACCATGGATTATCATAAGAATTATATAAAATAATTGATGTAAATACTCAGCTAGGTGCCTAACGTACAATGAACATCAGTAAAAGACGACTGCTACAATTACCACCATCAGAGGAAAGATTAACCAAAAATGAAGAATATGAAAACTTGAAACAAAGGAAGTGAAAGTTGTTACACTCTTTTCTGTAGAAATTCTTACATGTTCCTAAATGTTCTGTGTCTACGGGATATCTCAGAGTTTAAAAAGTGACTTCCCTCCTCCCCTCCCCCAATCCTGATAAAATTCTGGGAAACTTAACATTGTTTCCATCTTGCAGATCGGTCAGCTAAGGCCCTAGAACTTTGGTATCTTACTCAAGAAGGCAGGGGCCAAATTTCCCATTATTACTACGTTCTCTACATCTGTCATTATACTGGGTACATATAGGTATTCAATTATTATTATTGAATTATAATTCAATTATATACGTATAATATTTGGTAAATAAGTGAGTAGTAAGAACAGGATTTGAATCCAACGTACAGATTCCAAATCATATGCACTCTTCAATGTACTGTATCTATTTCTGTAAATACAGTGATGGTCTTTTTTTTTTTTTCACAAGCAGGACATCCTCAAGACTGACCCAGGGATGGAATATATAGCTAAGAAAACAGTGAACAGGATAAAACCAGGTACAGGAGTTTAGAGGGGTTACATCCCTGGGAAAGAACAGTAAAAGCAGTGTGAATAATTCATTGTGAGGCTTTCCCATATCCTCTGCTCTTCAAACCTATGCTCTAAACAACATAGGTCATGCTATCTATACTGTACTCGTGAGGAAAAAGAGAAGTTACAGGATTTGCCTAAGGTCACACGACAAGCAAGTGTGAAAGCTATATTCAAATATTTCATGGATATTCTCCCTCTCTCCACTTCTGCCCTTTTAAACAAACATTTCTTCAAAGTTGATTGCTTCATTTGGGAGGGCAGATTATGTAGTGGTTAAAAGTATGAGCCTTGAAGTCAGCAGGCCTGGGTTGGAATGCTGGTTTATTTGCTCACTAGCCATGTGACCTGGGACAAGTCAACTTCTCTGAGCCTCGAGGAGTAAGGCCACCTCCCCTCATAGCATTGTGGGGAAGAGTAAATGAGATTGTTTGAAAAGTGCCCGGAATACAGTAAGCTCGCCAATGCTATCATTAATTATCATCATCATCTGGGGAAGAAAGGAAGGGAGAGAGAGGAAAGGAGAGGAGGAGAGGGACAGAGAGAAACCGTGCCAGTTCACCATTCCGTTCCCGCTCTGGCCCATTTTACTGTCAGCAGTCTTGGCTGTGTTTTCTGAAAGAAGTGAGCACAGAAAGAGGTAATGCTCTGGTGCTGGCACCCGGGAGGTGTGCCAGGCAGAGGGAGGTGGCTGTAGGAGGTTGGTAGAGAACTCTCTGCAGGCTTTCCCTTATTCTCTGGGCCTCCGTGTCCACCAGCAGAGAAGTTACCCTCCATCCCCTGCCCCTACTCACCAGCGTCCCCCGCAGCAGAGCTGGTTTCCCATGGTGCTCCTTCACCTCCGCCTCCGAGGGAGCCCAGCTGTTTTTCTACATAAAGAGGCTTGTGCATTTCCTGGTTCCTGGTTTAGCTTTCAGTAACAGCTCCCGGGAGTCTTTGTCAGTGTCAGATTTCAACCTAGCAGGTTGGACTTTGGAAGCCACCTGCTGGAATGATTCCCAGGTGACTGTTCCCAGCCAAGTGGTACAGGAACACATGTGGGCTCCAGGTAAGAGCTATCTCACCTTCGGGATTTGGAGCTGCTTTGAAGAAGTCATGAACTTTGGGCGTCAAGCTTCAGTGAAAAGGAAACTGAGATAGCAAAGGACCCTGGGTTTCCTTAGGAAATGTTTCTCTACTACATCACGCTGTCATTGAAATACATCCTCTATAATGGAGTCAAGAGTCTTACCTTGTGTTTCCCCAGCACTACTCAGGTTGAGTGGAGTTTCACTTTCACAGTAATCAGTATCAGTTTCTTATTATCCCTGTCCAGAATCTGGGTTTGAAAACTGGAGTCTCTTGGAAATTCTAATTTAGGGAAATGGATTCCTTTCATAGCCCCCCCTTGCATTTGGAATCAATGTGAGCAGATCCCTTTTTTCTACGATGGTGAAAGAGAGAAAGACCTAACTCATTACCTAATCCCCTTGCTGGTCAAAAATCAGATGGTGTTATGACTGGAATGGCCTCTCAGCACTTCTTGACCATTGACTTCCTCATGCTCAGTACAGAATTACAGAATCTCTACTTCCACCTCAACTCACTCTCTCCCTCCAATGACCCAAAGTTAGACTCATTCTGCACTCACCAGTGAGCAGGGTGCAGTGAGCAAATTCCTCTGTAGAAAATATGGGCTCTGGGAGAATTTGTGAAACCTGTAAGGCTTCTCTTCAGGGCTCCGACCCCTACATTGCCCAGATGCCCTGTTATTTTTTGTGCCCCTTAGGGATGTTCAGGACCCACCACTCAGCCCCGGACTCCACAGGGTACACTGGACGCTTCCTTCCTCCCCCTCCTTTTTCCTTATGAGAAATGGGCATAATGAGAGTGATAGTTTGATAGGATTGTGGTGAAGATTATGTGAGATAATGTACACAAAGTTCTAGTCCACAGTCTGGCACATGGGAAGCTGTCAGTAAGTTCTACCTATTGTTATCACTTCTTCTTAGCTAATTGTCAGACAGCAAAGCATCTCACTTTATCATCTTGTGAGGGATCATTGTACTAGCCTCTTACTTAATGGCTATGCTTCTCCCCAGCAATCCTTTCTATGCACCATTAGTGACTGTATTCTTTTCATCCTGATACCCAAACTTTTTAGCCTGGCACTCAAAGCCACCACAATCTGGTCCCTTTTTAGCCACTTTCTCTAACTTAAAGGAGAATTTTAAAGGAAAACACCAAAGAGATTTTATGACCAGAAACCCCAAAGGAACCCACAGTGTACTGTGGTACCCAGAAAACCTTAAGCAGTGTTAATAGAAGTTAGAGTGATAAACAAGGGTATTGATTATTCCACTGAAGTCTGTACCAGTCAGCCCATGACCAGAATAATCATTTTAATCCACATGTTGAATTCCAAGTTACACTGTCAAAAGGCAGGGTGTTCTAGAGAAAGTTGTCTAGGTTTGGAATGTCCTGGAGGCTCCTGGCTGCCTCAGTCAGAGGAGCATGTGACTCTTGATCTCGGGGTTGTGAGTTTGAGCCCCGTGCTAGATGTAGATATTGTTTAAATGAATAAATAAACTTTTTAAAAAGTTATATATGGTTAAAAGAGGTAGGCATGTTTACTTGGGAAAGAGAAACTTTAAGAGGAAGGGATAGTTATTTTAGAAAATCTGAAAGGGACTTCCAAATGAAAGAAGGATTGCACTGATTTTCTGGACATAACCAGACCAATAAGCAGAAGTTACTGAAATGAAGACTCTGGGCCAATAGAAGGAAGAATTTATTAGAAGTATGTCCAAAGAGTTCTGATGAAGAACTCCAAAAAAGAACTTACAAAGTTCCAAGTTCCCCATCACTTAAAGTGTCCCAGAGAAGGGCGCTTGGGTGACTCAGTTGGTTAAGCAACCGACTTCAGCTCAGTTCACAATCTCTCAGTACATGAGTTCAAGCCCCACTTTGGGCTCTCTGTTGTCAATGCAGAGCCCAGTGAGGATCCTCTGTCCCCCCTTTCTCTCTGCCCCTTCCCTGCTCATGCTCTCTCTTAAAAATGAATGAAAAATTTTTATAAACATCCCAGAAGATGTTGACTAACAGTTGTAAATGAGTTTGAATGGTGTGGGGATTTGGGCTTTATCAGAGGTTTCAAATTTTTTTCTAGCTAAGGAACCCTCTCTTTTATTTATTTAAAAAAAATGTTTTTATAGTTTTTATTCATTTTTGAAACAGAGAGAGACAGAGCATGAGCGGGTGAGGGGCAGAGATAGAGGGAGTTACAGAATCTGAAACAGGCTTTGAGCTGTCAGCACATAGCCCAACGCAGGGCTCAAACCACAAACCGTGAGATAATGACCTAGGCGAAGTCGGATGCTTAACAGACTCCGCCACCCAGGCACCTCTCTTATTTTTTTATAACTTTTTAAATGTTTATTTATTTTTGAGAGAGCGAGCGAGTGCGCACACACACGCAGGGGAGGGGCAGAGAGAGGGAGACACAGAATCCGAAGCAGTCTCAGGCTCTGTGCTGTCAGCAAGGCTCGAACCCACGAACTGCGGTATCATGACCTGTGCCGAAGTCGGTGCTCAACCAACTGAGCCATCTAGGTGCCCTAGGAACCCTCTCTTTAAATAAAGCTCACGTAAAAATAACAATTACAGAATAGATCAATGAGAAGTCATTTTGGCTAAAGTCCAAGTAGAATCCTTTCTAATCTTTTTTTCTTCTCAACCAAATGTAAGTTTCCCTAGAATAGACAATAAACGAGCATAGTTTTTAAATTTTATGTTTATAATGAACATCTTCCATAATATATTACCTGGGGGTTGATAAATACTTGTTGAACGAATGGATGAACCAATGAATATATTATTAGTTATTTCTCTGAAGCATGCTTTCATTTTTGATAGATGGTAATTTTTTAACCAAGAATTGAATTCTTTGAGTGAGGGTTCTTGGGAATCCACAGATCCTTAAGAAGGGGTACATGAATGGACCTCAAGAGGTGTGTGAACCTATTTAAATTGTAAGGCAAATTTGAGAGCATGTGTATTTTTTTCTGATAAGGGGATCTTTTGCTTTTGCTAGATTTTTCAACTGGGTCTATAACCGAAAAAAGTTCAGAATCAACCACTTTAATGGAAGAATTTCAGGTGTCCATGACAACCCGGTAAAACATATTCTGGGGGCAGGGGGGCTCATCTGGACACTCCTCAAATCATACACATGCATGAACTACAGAGAGGGATTGAGAAGTCAGGCCCCCATGCTTTCCTGAACACGCCATATCTCTCGTATTAAGACCCTGCATCCAAAGGAACGTTCTCTGGCCATCACCACTGCACAAATAACCCTAGACCCCCTGTATTTGGTCTTGGATTGGGTGGGTGATGCAGTGATTCCTCTCTTGGGTATGTTCCAGAACTAGAAATAGAGGCCTCCCCTGTGCAGAGGCTGGAGAGACTCTGGTTTGGTGACAGAGGTCCTGTGTCCGTGCCCTGCCTACGCATACTCCATCGCTCAGAATTAGACACCATTTTCACTGGACAGACCTTACTACGGGAAAACAGGGCTTTGGGCAACTCTCTCCAGCCTCAAACTGTTTCCCCAGGCCCTACCCAACACAGGCCAGACAGGCTGGAGACCCTTGTTTTTGTGTCTCTAATCACCAGCTCAGACAGTGCCCTCTGGGCTGTTTGGATGGCATATCCCTTTTCCCTCCCAGGATCACTCTCTCTTTTGTTGCATTGTGAGAAAATTATGGCTAGGAATTTGATCTGGAGCCAGGGTCAGCTTCCGGGTATGATCTCAGCATCCAAGTGTGAGCTCAGGGTGCTGTGACGTTGGGCACATCTAACTGAGGAGCTTTTTGTCTAGCTGGCTATGACCTCCTCCCCCACCCCCACCCCCCTCGCCCATCGCATCGTCCAGGCCACAGAATAGGGAGAGGCACAAACAAGGCCCTGAGATTGGGGTTTATTCAGCTCCACCCAGGACTAAACAAACGCTTTCACATGTCTCAAGGGACCAAACCATACATCGTGGGCCGTGCACGTTCCCCTTCCCCCAAGGATGCTGCTACCTCTGGGGTGGTGGGCAGCGGCTCCCATCACCGTGGGAGGCGGAAGGGGGCTGGCTGGGGGCTGGCTCGGCGGCACTCAGGACTCCCCTCTGCTTGCCTCCTCCTCTTCCTCTGGATCGGGGGGCGCAGGGAGCAGGGAGATGTAGACCTCGTTGACCTCCGTGTCCAAATGCCGGCCGCCCCGAGGCGCCTCCAGGTTAAGGATGCCGTCGTGGGAGAGAGCGGCGCGGACCCGCCAGGGGTCCACGTCCGCAGGCAGGACGTAGGTGCGGCAGAACTCTCGGGACACGAAGCCGTGGCGGTCCAGGCGCTGGGGGTGCCGGGCAGACACCTCCAGCAGGTTGTCCACAGTCCTCACGGTCACCTCATCTGGGGTGAAGTGGCTCACATCCAGAAAGGCCTGAAATTTGCCCTCACTGAGCCTGAGCTCGGAGGCCCCGGCCCTGCCGCCCCCCCCAGCCGCGGCGGCCCGGGGCCGCACGTAGTAGCCGTGGTAGAGGGTGGGGGTCAGGATCTCTTCGGGCAGGAGGCCTGGGGGGCGGAGAGAGAGGGCAAGAGCAGGATGAGGGGGAAGGCGCTGGGCACAAGGGTGAAACGGGGCGGTCAGGAGACGACGACCGGGGAGAGCAGGGGAGGGGTCGGCAGACGTGGGGAAAAGAGGCTGGGGGCCGCCCGCACTCGGCGGCTGGAAGGAGGCTGCCGGGAAGAGGGGGCTGAGTTGGGGAAGGGGATGGGAGTGGGGGAGGGCGAGACAAACGGGGGGCAGAAGAGGAACAGGAAGTCCCCGCGAGGGGCCGGGGGCAGGCGCTGGAGCCTGGCGCGCACCGCGTCCGCCCCGAGGTCAGAAGGCGGGGGACGGAGAGCCCGGCTTGGCTGGGGGCGGAGGGGGAGCCTGGGGTGGGAGACGGCTCGCCCGGAGTGCAGTTAAGCCCGCAGTGGGGTGGAGGCCAGCACCGTTGGGAGGCCAGCCCAGAATTTCGGGAGGTGGGGGGGGGGGGGGGGGGGCGGCGTCTGCACCGTACCTTCGCCGAAGCGCTGCTCGCCCAGGCGGCTGGGGTTGGCGAATTCGTACTCGGTGGTGGCCGGGTGGGCATGTGGCACCGAGCGGCCTGACATGGCTGCAGAGGCGTCGGCGGCCCTGATCCGAGGTGCAGCGACCCCTCCAGCTGCCTGGACAGCCGGGGCTCGGTCGGAGGTGGGGGGCGGGGTCTACACCACCCAAAATAGTGCCGAGCCTGGGGCGGGGGAGGAGCGGGGAGCCGGGGCCCTGAGCGCCAGCGACAAGGGCGCGACCAGCCCCGCCTGGACCCCCGTGCTCCCCCCCCTTCCCCCGCACACTCCTCAGCTGTCGCAGGCTGCCCGGAGAGACAGCTGGGGGTCCTGTCTGGGCAGCGAGCTGGGGGTGGGGAGGCTGGTGCGGGAGGCCCTGGAGAGGCCTCGCCGAGACCCTCAGTTGGTACATTTCCCACACTGCTTCCTCTCCTCCTCCGTCCCACGCGCCCTGCACCCTACTTCATAAAGCTCTCCTGGTTGCAATGTTCTGTGCGCTATGGAAGGTCAGAGATGCAAGAAACTTTTCCACCGTTTCTTTGCCCTGGGGTGAAGAGTCTCCCTGCCCAGATCAATGTCAGAATCCTTTCCTGAACCCAGGTCCACCCCGGGCACCACACAGATGCCTGGCACTGACTTGGTGATCACTGCTCTCCTCCAGGGACTCAACGAAGAGTTAATGTCCCTGGGGCACAGCCTAGGAAGATTCCAGTTCCTGCCCAGGCCCAAGATAGTTGCTGGCCCAATTCCCCTGGCATGCTAGGCTGGGGAGAAGGAGGGGGGCACATCACCCACCTGCTTGGGATTCCTGACTCCAACCCAACTCCACAGAAGGGGGTAGGGGGGGCGCCACTGGGTGTGGACGGAAAGCTAGTCAAACAAGACCAGGGCAAGTCACTGGCCAGCTCAGACGTGTTTGTGTTTCTCTTTTCTTAGCTCAGTGAGTACTGGGTATGTGTCACACTGCCAAATCCCCGATCACAAGTCTCCATGAACGGGCGGTGAGCTGGGATAATAAAACTCCTGACATCACCATTCCAGAAGCTTCACAAGACTGCGTATATAAGGGGCTGGCTGCAGCTGCAGCTGAAGGAGCTGACCAGCCAGCCGACCCCCTCCACTCACCTAGCCACCATGGACATCGCCATCCACCACCCCTGGATCCGCCGCCCCTTCTTTCCTTTCCACTCCCCCAGCCGCCTCTTTGACCAGTTCTTCGGGGAGCACCTGTTGGAGTCTGATCTCTTCCCAACTTCTACTTCCCTGAGCCCCTTCTACCTCCGGCCACCCTCATTCCTGCGGGCACCCAGCTGGATTGACACTGGGCTCTCAGAGGTAAGTCTCCCTCTGCCAGGACAGGAAAGTTCTTCCTGGAACCTCCTGGAAATCTATCCACCTGCTCTCCTTTTTCTCCTTGCCTAAATCTGGCTATATCTAAGTGTCATAGGCACTTGTGTGTCCACCAGCAAAGAAAGACTCGGTTACTGGTTCTTTCCCCCCGTTGCCTGTTTGTATTTGATGCTCCTCTGTATCTTGCTTTACTGCATTTTTTCCATGTGCTGTGAGAATCACCTTTTATCCCCTAATTTCTAAGTAGGATGCCCCTTTCTGGTTTGATTTGTAAAGATCTACAGGGAAAGAGCTGCCTTCAGATTCCTTTGCTCACCTCTTCTAATCCCTCATACGCCTATAAATTTTATTGTTTCAAGTTTCAGAGTCAGGAAACAGCCCTGCCTCATTCTGAGCTTTTCATTTCCACTGTATGGAGCTGGAGACAGCAACTACTGTTTGTCTATTCCTTTGTCTATGATTTCCCAGGTTTCTCAGGGCTGTGACAGGGCACTGACCTGGGCCCATACCTAAGGAGAAAAGGATGTAGGTCAATTCTTGGGACTCCCCCTTACGTGTCCTAAGAAGGTGGGATAACGGGGTGAACAGATGAGATTGACAGAGAGCTGTCACAGATAACATTCCGGTTTAAAAATATTCAAGTGTGAGTAAACAGGAGCCGAGTGAGCAAGGGCTTTGGAAGGACAATCCGGGCCAGTAGAACATTCCAGATTGAGTGGGTGGGAAACTTGGCACAGGCCTGAGCAAGAAGAAGGGGCCTTTGTCTCATAGACAAATGACAAGGCCAGACATCAGGGTCAGAGAGGCAGCAGAAACTGTGCCCAGACCCATCCTTGTGATTGGCCTGGGTCGCCTTCTCTCCTGTCCCTGTAAATAAAGTTTGGATCTGATGCCCATGTGGTATGGCTTGGGTACCACTGTGGTGGCTCTCCTGAACCAGAGAGCCATGTTTATTCAAAATGGGATTTTTTAGCCGAAAAAAGGAGGATAAAGTCTGCAGAATGATGAGACTGTACTAGTGTAATCCACATTCCTACCATGTTTTCTCCTACCCCCTTCTCTCCACCTTGCCATTTCTAGATGCGTCTGGAGAAGGACAGATTCTCTGTCAACCTGGATGTGAAGCACTTCTCCCCTGAGGAACTCAAGGTTAAGGTGTTGGGAGACGTGATTGAGGTGCACGGCAAACACGAAGAGCGCCAGGTGTGTAGCTTGCTTTCTCTTCTGCTCATTCATTCAGCGCGTACTGTATGCCAGACACTGCCATCGGCCTCTGGGCCTGGCAGCCTTCCTGTCTCAAGCCATAAGGGTCGGGGACAGGATAGACCGGCTGTTGTTTGGGCCCGAGAAGTGATCCTTGTTGTTCGTTTTGATTTGATTGCCTTCGGTGGGATAGATGGGATGTTTATTTCACATTTAAGCCCGTAATTTTGGCCACCTTATAATCACTGGAGGAATGAAAAAAAAAAGTCCCAGTGCTTAGGCATATTCCAGACCAAATTTTTTTAAGGGTAGGCACCAGGCATCAGCATTTTTTAAAGGGCGAGGTGGGGGGAAGCTCCCTAGGTAATTCTAATGTACAAAGTTGAGGACCACTGAATTAGGAATAGCATTAGTTGGATCTGTGGTTGCTTTACATCATTATATGAATTTCAGGTGCCTTGAAGATTCTTGACTTTGGGACTTTGCTTTTAGATGTTCCTGAATCCTCTCATCTTTAGCTCATTAAATGCTCAACTACTTGCTTTGCCCAAGTTTCAGAGCTGCACTCAGTAGCTAACACCCTGCAGCCCATGCGGAAATCACTTAATTGAGAGCCTGTCTGACCAAATGCTTGCAATTCAGCTGGTATAAAGATTAGAATCAGCTAGTTCTTAGCAGAATCCTAGAATATGGACCAGCTTCTTGTTAATTTCTGGGAGGATTTTGAAATGAGTCAGCCTCTGATCAATTATTGATAACTCCAATACTTGTGTATCAAACAGTGTGGTTTGAGGTCCTCAGGCTGTTTCAGTTTTGCTTATGTGATTAAGTTTGGGTCATAGTCTCCCTAGAAGTGTTGTTGTTGTTGTTGTTTTTAGCAGCAGTCTGGAACATTCTGGGACATTCCTGAAGAGTCAGGACAATTTCTGGGCTTCCTTAGGGATTCAGATCTTCAATGCTGGATGATATTCTAGATCCTGTAGGCCCAACAAACATTGATCTAAACCTTTGGGAAATACCCCTAAAAATATCCATGCCTCAGTTTGGAGAGCTTTCAAGTTTTTGCTTTTTGACTTCTCAAACTCTCCTTGGTAGGAGCGACCACCTGGGCAACTTTAGCTCTGCCCTAACCAGAACAGCTGTGAAGTTTTTCTCTCTTGTTACCATGGCGTATGGTCACACCTAAGGGGAAGGAAGGTATCTGAGTTCTCAGCAAGGGGTGCTATTCTCTGTTCTTACCTCTCTCTTTTTTCCTCATTGTCTTGGACTAGGATGAACATGGTTTCATCTCCCGGGAGTTCCACAGGAAATACCGGATCCCCGCTGATGTGGACCCTCTCGCCATTACTTCATCCCTGTCATCTGATGGGGTCCTCACTGTGAATGGACCAAGGAAGCAGGCCTCTGGCCCTGAGCGTACCATTCCCATCACCCGTGAAGAGAAGCCTGCTGTTACTGCAGCCCCCAAGAAGTAGAAGCCCTTTCTTTAACTGCGTTTTTTAAAACAAGAAAACGTCCCCACCAATGAATGAAAATCTTGTGATTAGTGCTGAAGCTTATTAATGCTAAGGGCAGGCCCAAATTATGAAGCTAATAAAATACCATTCAGCAACAGATAACTGTCTTGTGTTTGACTATTCTGTATTTTAAAAAGAAACGTGGAAATACAGTAGATCCGCTTAATCACCACATTATGATTTAGGGGGCTCTGGGGACATTATAGTCAGAATGGCTGTCTCCACTACTTACTAAGAGTGTAAATTTAGCAAGTCACTTAACCTTTCTACTCCTTAAGTATTAGATTTGTAACATGTGGCACTGATTTGCAGACTGTTGTGAGGAGTAAATTAAGGAGAAAACATAGGTAAAGCCCTTGGCAGAGTTCAAGGAATATTAGTTCCTCTCTCTCCTTCCTTGATTTCAGCCCTCATTTCCAACAATAAATCTGAACGAAGTCTGGATAACAATGCATGAAAAGCCTTGGTAAGTCTCTGCAATTAATCATATTGCCGGGCAGGAGGCGGTGCCCCCAATATTGACATTTTCCTACTGCCTTCAGCTGATTCACGAGAGCAATAACCAGGACTTAGCTGGGTGACGATCACCAAACAAGCCTTTCAGGGGTGATCTCTAAATTACTTAGCAATAAGCTTTGAGAGCCAATTCAATGATCTATCCCCACCATAAAAAATTAAATTTTAGAATTATAATTAATCATTGCTCAGTAAGTGAATCTATTATTTAGCTTAAGCAAAGATATTTTACTCCACAAAACACCCCCATTCCACTTGTGGGTCCAGACAAAACTTCTGACTCAATTAATGAAAAATAAGCCCTGGTGTGGGTTTTCCGGCATAAACGTTTGCAGACAACTCCTATTTTACTGTAGCAGCGTCTATCTAATTTCTGATATCCCACAAGGACTGACCATGAGTTGAAATGAGATTCCTGCCTCCACAAAGCCAACAGATTGGGGGTTGGCCATGCTTTTAAAATATTCCATGCAAAAGTGTTGCCGAAATTTTTCATGATGCAGGGGTGTGGAGCTAGGACAATATAAATTGCACATCTAGACAGGCTCAAAATGTTCCCTCCTAAAAAACAATCTCCTAATAGAAATGCTGTGGTCTAGCCAGCTAATTCTTGTGGTTGTGTTGCAGACACTGTTGGGCTGCCTCACCAACCTATTAACCACCTTCAGTTTTGCCAACAAGCTCCCCGGATTGGTTTAGGTATCCACCATATACTTCCTAGTCATGTGCTTCAGGAAAGTGAATCCAAGCCCCAGCCACGGGTGATCTTATCTTTTTTCTTTTTTGAGAGAGAGTATGAGTGGGGGAGGGGCAGAGGAAGGGCAGGAGAGAACTCTAAGCAAGCTCCAAACCAGTGTGAAGCCCCACGCTCATGATGTGGGATCATGATCTGAGCCAAAATCACGAGTTGGAAGCTTAATGATCTGAGCCACTGAGGTGGCCCAGGTGGTCAATCTTGATTAGTCCAAATCAATCATGGAGAGTCCCTTCCCTTTATCAAGATTAGTCTTGAAAAGGCTGTGACCTAATTTTGGCTAATGGGACAGGAGAGAAGTTTGCTGGAGGTGCTTCTGGAAGAGGTTTTGAGTTTTTAAAAAGACGTATCAAAAAAAAGAAAAAGGAAGAAAGGAAAGGTGGTAAGGAGAGATTTTTCTTCCTCTTCTTTGAGGTGTTGGAGCATGAGGATGTGACACTCATATTGCTGTAGGCATCTTGAAACCATGAGGGACCATCCATGACATGCCGAGGATGGCTAAGCAGGGGCGTGGCAGCACTCCAGGTCCTTGACGGGTCACTGAATTGCTAAACTGGCCAACTCCAGACCTTCCTTACTTCAGAATGTCTTATGCCTTGTTTTTCTTTAATCTATTTTGACAATGGTTTTATGTTACCGGTACGCAAAAAAATCTTAGCTAACAGAGGCTGAATTAAATAGTGTAAAAATCTGAGAATGTTCTGGAAACCATGAGTCAACTTTAATCATTTTAGTAAATTACCAGACTACTCAAGCAGACATAATCTTAATGACTTGGTCTTAAAAAAAAATCATACTTTGCGTATTAGATCTTGATATTTATGCTTTTGACAAATTTCTTCAAAATGTGCAGGATCACTTTTTGGGTGAATTTTTATTGAACTCAACTGAGACTAGTAAACAATAGTCCATATCACATCTTTTGCTATGGCTGTTCATTGTCATTAGTGTAGGACTTTTCTAGTCCAGTATATTTAAGGATTTTTTTCCCAGGTTTACAAGCTAGCTCATCCATAATTCTACTTTATTCCCTATATTTGAATTATGCCACAAGTCTGTTGAGGCAATTCTAACTAGCATTTATTCTTTTTTTTAAGGTTAACATTTATTGAGCAGTTACGATGTGGCTGACATACTAAGTGCTTTACCTTTTTTTAATCTTTCATTTATTAAAAAATTTTAATGTTTATTTTTGAAAGAGAGAGAGAAAGAGAGAGAGAGACAGAGCATGAGCAGGGAAGGGGCAGAGAGTGTCACACACACACAGAATCCGAACCAGGCTCCAGGCTCCAGGCTCCAAGCTGTCAGCACAGAGCTCAACACAGGGCTCAAACTCATGAACTGCGAGGTCATGACCTATGCTGAAGTCTGACACTCAATGACTGAAGCACCCAGGCATCCCTATCTTTTTTAAACTATCATTTTTTAAATAGAATAATTCTAGGAAATAATGTATAATAAGTTCATGTAATCTCAGTAAGATATAACACTTAGGAGACCAGATAGATGTTTTTGACTAATGGTTTAGAGGTAATACATATTTTCTTGTTTAGAAAAATTCTATTTTATACTATATGTTTTATTTTGAATAATGCACTGGGTCTGATCTTTGTTCTGAAAATTTACAATGCTTATTTATTCAATAAATATTTGAGTGCCCACCATGTGCTAACTACAAAAATAAGACATGTCTGCTCTAAAGGAATTAGGAATTGAGTAGGAAAGTGGGCAAATAAAAGGACAATTCTAAGACATCTTTTCAAGATTCTATGATGTCCCTTTAAACTGTCTGTTATGGGGCCCCTTAAAAGAAATACCTTCCCTGGACATGGAAGGAATGTTGGAGATGGTTACTGCTAATCAAAATTTCTTAACAGCTTTACTGAGCTACCATTCTACACTATTAATGCATTCAAAGTGTACACTTTAATAGTTTTTAATATATTCACACAGTTGGGCATCCATCACCATAATCAGCTTTAGGGTCATTTCATTAGCCAACAAGATACCTTGTACCCATTAGCCATCCCCCTCCAATGCCCACTCCTCAGCCCTAGGCAACCACCAATCTACTTGTTGTCTCTATAGATTGGTCTGTTTGGGACATTTCATGTTGTGGAATCACACAACATGTATTCATTTGTGACTAGCTTCTTTCCCTTAGTGTAATGTTTTCAATTTTCTTCCATGTTGTTACATGTATCAGTACTTCACTCCTTTTTAATGCTAAAAAATATTTCATTGCATGGATATCATAGTTTGTTTATTCATTCATCAGTTGATGGACATTGGGGTTACTTCCACTTTTTGGCTATTATTGATAATGCTGCTATGAACATTACTGTTTTTCATGTGAAACATGTTTTCATTTCTCTTGAGTATATACCTTGAAGTGGAATTGCTGGATTATATGATAATTCTATGTTTACCCTTTTTTAAAAGTTTATTTATTTATTTGGGGGGGTGGGGAAGATCCCACCTGCGTGTGTGTGCATGAGCAGAGGAGGGTCAGAGAGAGAGGGACAGAGAGAATCTCCAGCAGGCTCCATGCTGTCAGCACAGAGTCTGATTCTGGGCCTGACTCGCTCTCACAATGGAGATCATGAGCTCAGCTGAAACCAAGAGTTGGCTGCTCAACCAACGGAGCCACATATGACCCCCAAACCTTCCTTTTAAAAAACCATTAGATCCACATTTCCTGTGATATGTCACTACAATTCACTACAGGGTACATGTTTATTTATTTTTTATTTTATTTTTCTTTTTATTTATTTTTTTTTTTATATTTTTATTTATTTCTAAGAGAGAGAGAGAGAGACAGCGTGAGCAGGGGAGGGTCAGAGAGAGTGTGATTCATATTCTGAAACAGGCTCCAGGCTCTGAGCTGGCAGTCAGCACAGAGCCCGACGCGGGGCTCGAACCCACGAACCGCGAGATCATGACCTAAGTGAAAGTCGGACGCTTAACCGACTAAGCCACCCAGGCGCCCCAATTTTTTATTTTTTTAAAGTAGTCTCTACACCCAGCTTGGGACTCAAACTCACGACCCTGAGAACAAGAGTTGATTGCTACACCAACGTGAGCCAGCCAGGCGCCCCTATGTTTAACCTTTTGAGGTACCACCTGACTGTTTTCCAAAGCAGCTGCACCATTTCACATTCCCACCAGCAGTATATGAGGGTTCTGATTTCTCCATATTCTTACTGACACTTACTATTATCTATCTTTTTGGTTATAGCCACCCAAGTGGGTGTCTAACCGAATTCTTATCGGTTTATAAGACTTAGCAAGTTGATAGTATCATTGGTCTATATGACTTAGCAAGGTGAAGAAGAAAGGGAATGCATCTAGGAAGAGCAAACAGCATGAAGTGCCCATGTATTTAGGTTTGGTTAGGGCATCAGACGTATGGGGGCGGGGCATGTAAGAGACGAGTCAAGGGAGTTAGAGAAGGATTCTGCTAAGGACTTTGGAATTTATTTTGAGGGAAATAGAAGCCAATAAAGGGTTTTAATCAAGTGAGTGTCATGATCAGCTTTCTCTTTTTAGAGTCACTCTGGGAACAGTATAGAGACTGATATGTGGAGACTGAAATGGAAAATAGAGATATCAAACAAAAGGGTCTCGTAGCAGACTGGGTGAGAAATAAGGGGAAAATGGAGCATGGAAAAGGCAATAAGATGTAAAAAAGGGGGGCGTAATCAAGACATAACATGGAGGTAGAGTCGACAAGGCTCTCTGTTTGAATGGGGATAAGAAAGGAGAAGCCAAAATAACTCCTTGGCTTCTGTTTTTGACAATTGGATAAACTTATCATATATAATATTAAAACTACGAAAGAGTGGTTAAGATACATATAAGAGGGCTATTGAATTCACCTAGGTATGGAATACATTAGGAGGGAAAAAAATTGAGACAGAAGGTTATGAGTATGGCTGTAGGTATAGTGAGTTTGTGGGCCTTTGGGAATTCAAATGGAGACATTCAATAAGTAGTTGGATATGTACATCCAGCGCTCTGGAGACACATCTTTCATAGAAGCAGAGATTTAGAATAAGGAAGCACATAGGTGAGAACTGAAGGTCTGGGAGTTGATAGTATCATCTAGAGTTAGCCAAAAGGAGTTGGGGGAAGGTCAACAACAGAATCATTGGAAAGGCAAACGTAAGGGATTGGCAGAGAAAGATGAACTTATAAAAGAGACAGAGGTATCTCAGAAAGATGAGAGAAAAAGTATGTAGCACGATATCATAGACACCAAGGGAAGAAAGAAGTGAGTAGTCAGGCAGATTATCAGATAGAGAACATAAAAGTCAAGTAATATTTCAGCTGAGGCATCCATTGTATTTAGCAAAACTTTCACTGCTATAAATACAATTTCAGGAAAGTGGTAGGTCAAAGAGTAAATGAGAGACATACTTCCTAACAGGATAGAACATGAAGTTCATATGTGATGCAATCTGTTTGTTGCTAAAACAAAGCGATGGTAGGTTTTTTTTGTTTTTTGTTTGTTTGTTTGTTTGTTTGTTAAGCAGAAAAGGTAAATAACAATCTGGACAAGATAAATCTGAAAATATTTAAATGAAAAAAATAAAATTCAGGAGAATGGGCATATTGGCCAATATTTGCAAATGATATAATCATCTGCCAAAACAACCTCAACAGAATCAATAGGCAAACTATTAGAACCACTGAGAAAGTTCTGCCAGTTTAGAGATTACAATCTTAATTTATAGAATATTGTTCTGGTGATCTATTCCTGTATATCAAACTATCCCAAAACTTAGTAGCTTAACAATAATTTATTAGACCTTACTATTTACAGCACAGGGCTCAGCTGGGCAATTCTTGAGCTCCTCATGACCTTGACTGGGGTCAGTTGGTGGTATTCAGGCTTTAAGATGGCTTAGCCCTCCTTCCTGATGCTTTGGTAAAGACGGTTAGAAGGCTGGACTCAGCTGGGCCCCTTTCCCTCTCTTTGTAGTCTCAGGGCCTCTCTGTAGGATGTTTCCATCAGGTGATTGGACTTCAGGGCTCCAGGAAGGAGTATTCCACAAGACAGGAAGTGCAAGCTGCCAGTTTCTTAAGGCCTGGGCCTAGAAAGCTGCATGGTGTTACTTCTGCCGTGCGTTTGTTTGGGTCAAAACAATCGCAGAGTCTGTTTATATTTAAAAGGAAGGGGCCTAGACTACCACATTTTGATGAGAGGAGTGTCAAGGAATTTGTGGCCACCTGTAGTCCTCCACAGAAGCTGACAGAAAGGGAAATGTATGTAATCTCTAAAAATTATGAGATCAATGGCATTAGTAGCAGGAATATACAAAGGACCCCTGCAAACCAAGAAACGGACAGCTCCTCCAATAAAAACAAAAAGTGGACAAAGACTGTACATAGGAAATTTACAGAAGTGGGAACCAATAAGGCACGTGCGTGCAAAGAAATGCTGAAAATCATTGGTAGTGCAATGCAAATCAAAGCAACAACGAGCTCTCAGTTTACAATAGACTTTCTCAATATGGCATTGGCGATATTTGGGGCCGGATAATCCTTTGAGGTGGGGGCTCCTCTGTGCGTTGTAGGATGTTTAGTAGCACCCCTGGCATTTGCCCACTGGATGTAGTACACACACCAGCTTTGTAACAATCAAAAATGTCTCTAGACATTTGCCAACTGTCTCCTGAAGGACAAAATTGCTCCTGGTTGAGAACCACTGCTTTACACACCTGTCAGCTTTGTTTGATGAGGAGGTTTCTGTGATGGTCTCTGTGAGGGAATAAAAAAATCAACAGTCCTTATCTTTTTGAGATATATACTGAAATCTTGATAGACAACATGATATAATTTCTGAGAGCTGCTCCAAAATTAATTAAAAAAATAGAAACAGTAGCCAGGAATAGTTATGATTGGTCAGAAATTGTGGAAGCTGGGTGATGGTATATGGGAGCTCATCATACTGTTCTAATTTTGTTTCTTTTAAATTCACTAATAAAAAAAAAGTTACTTTTCTTTTTCTAGTCTTTAAGAGGGGATGTTCACTAAGGTCACGATAAAGTTACACTGACTGTGATTGCCAGGCTCACATCCAGGAAGCATCTAGGCAGACATAACCTACGTTCTGCTGGATTTTCAGTTCTGCCATGAATGGAAGGCAGGGCAGAGCAAAGTGGGTTGCAGATTTGAAAGAATTCTTTTGAATCCTCTCCTACTACAATCTTGTGATGTAGAACTAACAGCAGATATAATGAACTTAAATTTGACATTTAAATCTCGATTAGAAGAAACGAAAAAGGGGGTAGGGAATAGGGGATATTTTCTGTGCTTTCTTTATTCAGAATGTGAAACTGTGCTGGCATCAGCTAGATTCTTAGTTGCGCTTTGAATGTGCTCCCTCCTATGGTCTATTCTGGAAAAATGAAGCTTCTTACTCCTTAGAATCCTGGCCCCTGAAATGGGCAGTTATTAGGATTCCACACACGTGCAGAGTGATGCCCAATTTGAGGGTCTGAGTAACTTGTCATATAAGTTGACTTTTCTGTGCATTTGTATCTAGGAGGGTCCAGCTCAGGTTGATGTCCTGGGAAGGAGTGAGGCTCTCGCTTAAATCCTGAGGGGAAAAGAAAAGAGAAGGAAGGACAAGCACAATCAGTCAACAACGAGGAGTCTTAGTAATCGGCTTCACTCTTATTTCTGAGAGAAATAAGTGTAGGGAGTCCTGTCAGAACTGAGAAAAGAGGGAAATCATTCATTCAGTCATTCACTTATTCACTCAGTTTACTTTCATCGGAGTTCCTTCTATGTTCTAGGCACTGAGTTAGGTCCTGTGAATATAAGGATTGTAAAGAACAGTCCACCTACTATGTGTTGAAAGTGGCATTTTTTTGTTATAGCTTGTATCATAGGTTGTTTCAAGGTAGTGTCCAAACTGGAAAGAAAAAGTAATCAATTAAAAATACAGGAGTCTACACCTAATACTGGGAAATAAAGGACACAATGACATGAATTCTAATAGGCTCTATCATATTTTAGATTGACTAGAGGTCTATGTGTTGTCAGTTTATATTCTACTAACTTTCATGGCTTTTGTGTGTTTGTGTATTTGTTTGTTTAGGAAAGATTTAAGGGCATGATGCAGATGAATGACAAATGAAGGTAGACAGCCTAAGTCAGAAGACACATATTTATGTTGATGAATAAAGGCCAAAGAGAAGTAAGAGAAAAAGAGTACTTGTCCTTTTATTACTTTAATATTCTACTTCGTAGTAAAAGAGGACAGGAGTTCTAGCTAAAGACTGCCTGTCCGCTCCCAACCACCTCAATGAACAGAGAAGCCTGAGAGATCTCAGCATGGAAGTTATCAGATTCCTACCTCTAAAAGGGCCCTAGTATTTCTTTTGGTAACAGAAGGAAACAGAAGGGAAGGTCAGATTACCTGGGAAGGCAAAGGTTTGGGTTGCACGATATTCCTCAGGTCAAATTTTTCCTGGTTCCAGTTGCCCATCAGGGTACGGTTTGAATAGGCATTCTCATTAGTGGTACATCTCCATCCATACTGGAAAAACTTGGACACACTATTCCAATCTGTCCACACTTCTGCATGGCCGTCTGCATTAATGATGCTGCCATAGTGTGGGTTTGCAAAGAAATAGGCAAGGGCTTGTCTCTGGGAAAAGGCAAAAACAGAAAAGATCGTTGCATAAACTAGGGAACAGAAAAGGCATTCATCCCGGGGCGCCTGGGTGGCTTAGTCGGTTAAGCGTCCGACTTTCGCTTAGGTCATAATCTCGCGTTTTGTGGGTTCGAGCCCCGCGTCGGGCTCTGAGCTGACTGCCAGCTCAGAGCCTGGAGCCAATTTCAGAGTCTGTAATCTCCCTCTCTCTCTGACCCTCCCCTGCTCACGCTGTCTCTCTCTCTCTCTCTCTCCTAGAAATAAATAAAAAATATTTTTAAAAAAAGGCATTCATTCCTTTCTCACCTTTGGCCAAGCGTAACGTAAGCACACCTTACTAAGGATCTGTGTTCTCCTCCCAGTTTAACTGTGGCTCTGTTTCTTTTCTTTCTGGGGCATGCATCCTTTGACCTACCCTCTCAATCAAAAGTAGCAGAGGGCCATGTACATTGAGTGCCACCCTCAAAAAAGATAGGAAAACCTTCAGTATCCCAAGACTATATGGAAAACAAGGTAAATTTTCAGGAAATTTTGAGATGTAAGAGTATAAGGATAGAGAATAGTGCTATAGTCAAAGAGAACAGGGAGAAGTGAGAGTTGGATAACTAGATAACACAGCAAATGTTCAATAAGTGATAGCTCCCTTCTTTCTGGACTTAGGTCAAATGCCACTTCTTCCATAATGTCTTCCCTCAAGTTAACTTCTCTCTCCTTTGTGTCACACACAATGGTATCCTCATACCTTTAACTTTCTACCATATTTTAGAGTTCTGCAAATATGTGTTGAAGTCTGTGTTGAATATCCTATGCTAAAATGCATACATCCCTTGAGGACGACACCTGTATCTTATTATCACACCTTCTTCCTCCACCTGTCCTCCCAATCAATAGTGCTCTGCACATATCAGATGAGCAATGTCTGAATTTCGTTTTTTTTGTTTTTTTTTTTTTTTTTCTTGGTAAGGAAGCAAAAATCTAGCCATATTTATTTTGGGCCAAAAGGTGACTGTGGTCCCTTGGCTTGGGGGCAAGACAGTACCTTCTCTGAAGAAGAGCATTTTGATGGTAAGTAGCTTGTGTTGTTTGAAGATTCTATAGGACAGTGATGAACAATCTTACTCAGCTCTTCCATTTTTTTTAAAGAAGAGATATCACTAAACCTGGCATTTCCCGTTCTCCAAGCAACGAAAGAATGTAGGTCACCCAGATCACCATGGCCAGGAGGCCATGATTTGGGAGTTACAGCCCACCGAGTCACCTTTCCACAGGTAGGGGCAAAGCCGACTGCGGCTTTGAAGGTAACTGCCCTCACACTATATGCCTTTGTGAAGACACATGCATGCACTGATGTCAACAAATAGCATAAGGGTGACATTATTCTTGGGGCCATAAGGAGAGACATCGTCATCTACTCAGTTGTCCAGGCGCTAAACCAGAGGCTTATCTTTGGCTCTGATTCTTCTTTCAACCCCTTACATCCGGTCTCTAATTCTTATTGATCTCTGAATCAGTCTACTTCCGTCCCCACTGCCAAGTTCCAGTTTAGATGACTATCAATTCTCGTCACCATTCTTGCTATAGTTGCCTGATGTCCTTGCCATCAGCCTTGGTCTTTCCCAATTCTTGCTCCATAGGAAAGAAGAATACGTGAAAATGAAAATCTAATTGTGTCATCTTCCTATTTAAAATCTTTCAGTGGCTGGCCACTATTTTCAGAGTAAGATTCAGGCTGTTAAAATGGCTTTCGATGTTCTCTATGACCTGGCCCCTGCTTCGCTCTTCAGTCTCACCTGCTACCCACTCCCCCTCCAAGTACATTTCGGCCATACTCAGCTATTGTGTTTCTCTATTGTGCTTTTGCATATATTGTTCCTTCTGCCTCTTCTCTTTACCCAGGTCAGGTGTACTTCCCCCTTCGTTTTCAACGCAAATTCACTTCATTTTAGGGAATTTTTCCATGTCATCCCAGAACTCAGTAAGGTTATAAATCCTGTGACCCCACTCATAGCACCGCATCCCACGGTACCAGGATTGCTTTTGCTGTGCGGTCCCCACCAGACTACAAGCTCCGTGAAATCATAGGCCACATCTTACTCATCTACGTATTTAGCCGCCATCAAGGCCTGGCACGTAACAGCCACTCAGGATTTCCTGAATGAATATAAGGTAGCAGATGGAAGCACCTGGAGAAATCCCGAGCAGCAGAGACAAGGGGCCGCAGTCATTTCGGACGAGGGGAAGGCTGTGTGACAACCGTCTGCGATGGTCACCTGCAGAGCACAGCCCACCCTCCCGACGTCAGCCCCGCCCCGCTTCTCTCACTCAGAACTCGCTTCGCCCCTGGGCCTGCCCCTCTGCGCTCGCTAGTGATTGCTTGTGACCTCATGCTGGTGTGACGAAGTCGCTCAAGGCAGCCTCGGGCTAAAAGGCATTTATTTCGACGCTCCTAAGGGTGTGGGGGAGAGAAGGGACAGAATGGTCCGTGTCTCACTTTTGTACTCCTAGCTATTTCATCCCCCTCCCTCCGAGTCGCTGCACCAGTTTGTCAAAACTGCTGGACGCTGTCCGCGCATCATCAATCAGCGACGCACAAAGAGGAGGCCCGCCAGAGGGCGCCCCGCCTCCCCGCCCTCCACTGAGGAAGTGACGTAAGAAAGCGGTGCCTCGGAGGCCGCGAGAGGGGAGCGAGTCGAGGCCATGGCCCCTCGGCGCCTCCTGTTGGTTGGGGAAGGGAATTTCTCCTTCGCCGCGGCCCTGAGCGAGACCCTGGATGAGAGCGCCAGTGTAACCGCCACCTGCCTCCAGCGCCCGACCGAACTGGCCGGAGATCCGGTGGCCTGGGAGAATCTGCGGCGCCTGCGCGAGCGAGGTAGCGAAGCCCCGCTCTCCGAGAAGCCCCGCCCCCATGCCGGCGCGGCCGGAAGTGGAATGGGCGGGGCGTTTAATTGCATTTGAGAGTCTGGTTCCCTGAAAGCCGCTGGTGGGTTTCAACCTGGGTTGTCTTGCACGGTTCAAGTCAGGGAGGGGTTCGGGTCTTGAGACAGCTTCCTGTCTATATTTCGTGCCAGGTACTGAGGTACGTTTTGGTGTGGACTGCACCCAGCTGGCAGATGCCCTTGAACTGCACCACAGGGAGTTTGATCGGATTTATTTTAATTTTCCGCACTGTGGACGCAAAGCTGGAGTAGCTAAGAACAGGGAACTGCTTGCCAAGTTTTTCCTGAGGTGAGGAAATGAGAACACTCACAAGTAAAATGTTGAAGGTGTACATTACATAGTTAACTGCACTGAAAACATTTTAGTTTGGGAAATAAGGCATACGTGTGTAAGTCACTATGATAGGTTTAGAGAGAAAATAAAGCTCCATAAGAATCCACGATCTAGTTGGAAAGGCAGGCATACAACCCTAAAAGTTACATAAAAGTACAAATAGTAGTTGGGCGTGTAAAGGGAGGATCATCTATTTTGGATGATGCGTAACGGTAGCCAGTATAACATATGGCTAAAAGCATGGGGTGTAGGAGCCAAACTGTCTGGATTCAAATCCCCACCCACCACTTAATAATTGTGTGATTTGGAGTAAGCTTACATACTTTTGCTTCTTCATCCCTAAACTGAGGAGATTAATGGTAGCTACCTCAAATCATTGTGAACTAAAAACTGTGCTTTACACTATTCTACCAAAACATGTGATACTGTTGGAGGTCTCTGGGGGTCGTAGTTGTCAAGAAACTTTTCACAGAGCCAGGATTTTAAGTTAGTATTTGAAGAACAGAATTTTAATAGGCGGGAAGGGGAGTGAACTTAAAAGAACAACTCTCAAAGCTGGGAAATGAGGGGCGCCTGGGTGGCTTGGTCGGTTGAGCGTCCGACTTTCGCTTGGGTCATGATCTCAAGGTTTGTGGGTTCGAGCCCCGCGTCGGGCTCTGTGCTGACTGCCAGTTCGGAGCTTGGAGCCAGTTTCAGTCTGTGACTCCCTCTCTCTCTGACCCTCCCCTGCTCACGCTGTCTCTCTCTCTCTCCTAGAAATAAACAAAACATTAAAAAAAAAAATTAAAAAAAAAAAAAAAAAGCTGGGAAATGAATCTGTATAGGAACTTTGCAGACATTGACCTTTCTATGACCTGTTCTATAATGAACAATGCAGATACAAAGCCAGATAATACCCTGGTCAGCCATGAGTATCAATTATGGGTTGAATATTGAATTTACATTCTTACTTCCAGCTGCTTCCTATGCAGATTTGAAGTCTGTGGACCTTTGTAAATAGATATGATTTAATTATTTTACAGCCAAGCCGTGTATTTACAGCCAACTTCCTATGGTAATTTCAACTTGTTTCTGATAAATTGCTGGTGTCCTCTTCCCTGTTAGCTGTAAAGATGTTCTCGCAGAGGAAGGAGAAGTCCATGTGGCATTGTGCAGAGGACAAGGTGGGACTCCTGCTGATAAGCCGATGAGAGAATGGCACAACAGTTGGCAAGTGGTTGCCATGGCAGCTCTGGGGGGATTCATTTTAAGTGACGTGCATCCCTTCAGCTGTGAGGCTGTGCCAGGGTACAAGTGCACTGGATATAGGTAAGTAGTTACAGAGGTCTGAGCCTTTTTCATCTCTCTTACTAATAATGAAAAAAGTCTCATAGGCAAACTTTCCCCTACCAATTTCCTGCTTTGGTCTCTAGAAATACTTGTTTTAAAAATGACAGTAAATAAATAAGTAAATAAGAAAGGAGGGAAAAGAAGAAACAAAAGAAAAGAAAGAAAAAAAGGAAATAAAAAGAAAAGAAAAGACTCACTGACTCCATACTTGGTGACTATTTTTTCCAGGAGTCAAGATAAGTCCTTTCATGTAGAAGGTGCTTTGAACCACATCTTCACTCGGAGCTTACCCTTTGAAGGTTCACAACCCAGAATCTTCAGGACCAAACTGGGTGACCGGTGGTTTTCCTTTCCAGAACCAGAAGCACTTGTAGGAAAGTTGAACAGGTAACCTGCTGTTTTACCAGAAGTTACTTCTATCTCTGGTTGCTTGATGGCAACTGTACGTTGAATGGATGCTATATAACTTGTTAATGATGTTGTGCTGTGAATTCTTGTCAGTCTGGCCCTACACAAGCCTTTTTAGAATTAAAATTTGTCATATTTTCTGGTATAGGGATCGTGGCTGTCAGAGTTCTGAAACACATGATACCTCTATTTATGGTAGATGGGTTTTTTTTTTTTTTTTTAAATTTATTTCTAGGGGAGAGAGAGAGACAGCGTGAGCAGGGGAGGGTCAGAGAGAGAGGGAGACACAGATTCTGAAATAGGCTCCAGGCTCTGAGCTGGCAGTCAGCACAGAGCCCGACACGGGGCTCGAACCCACGAACCGCGAGATCATGACCTAAGCGAAAGTTGGACGCGTAACCGACTAAGCCAGCCAGGCGCCCCGGTAGATGGGTTTTTTTTTTTTTTTGCTTTCAAGCTTACCTTAAAGATAATTCTTTTCTGTATGGCTATTTGTGCTTTTAATTCTTTATCCATTCTAACTATTTATTATTTGAAGTTTAAAAAGTTGTTTTTATGTGTGCTTAAACAGAGGTTTCCTAGAAGCACCTTCATGTCATCCTGTCAAAACCATTAATGAGAAACTCATTGCTGAACTGGGCAAAGTTTTCCCTCTAAAAAGGCTGAAGTGTTCCTTCCCTCTGCTGCCGGAGCGAAGCACTAGTGTTCTCACTTCCTGGAACTGTGACATTCTGTCAGCTGCCTTTTGGATTAGTCTCCATGAAGATAACTCAAATTCTGAGTCCCTGACTGATGGGACAAGACAAGACATGGAGGACTTTCTAGTGTTATTTTCAGAACTTAACCTTCTCAAGGATCCCGGAAGAGACAGTAAGGAAGAAGCTCATGAAGAAAGCTATGGCCAAACCAGGGTCTGCCTTAGGCCTTCTCTCCTAGTTCATGTTCAGGCTGTCGTCCAAGCACCAGACTTTATCCCAGGTTGCCTGCACATCCTCAGTGGACCTGTCTTTCGGAAGTGCCACATCTTGCCGTTCACAATGCCGGCATTTCATGAGACTTTATTTATCATTGGGTTTAATAAAAATCTGAAGGATGGTTGTCTTCAGTCACTACTGGATCACCTGAAGGGTTTTCTTGATAGCCTTCTGACCCAGACATTGCCGGAAGGCTCTAAGCTGAGCAGTTCAGTGGAATTTGTCTTTCAACCACATGGCAACCAGTATATTATTAATGTGAAGCCTCATAATTTTGGCTCAGATTGTGCCAAGGATCTGATTGTTGGGTCTGTCACCATATCCACTACAGGCATTATGCACAAAGACCAGTGTTTTATGTTTGTGTCCATGAACTTGGACCTACTAGCCATGCTTGTCTGGGGTATCTCTGACTGGAGGATGCTGTGGACCTTTGATCACCGTTTCCTGAAGAATTTTGTCTCTGGGAACATAGAACCCTTTAAAAGCTATTCCTTGTATCCTCCATGCTATGTTCATGATATTAGTTTTTGGTTAGATGAGAAGAAAGGATTTGATGAACTAGAATTTCACACGGTGGCCCGAGCAGTGTCTCAGGACACTGTCATATCCATAGAGTTCCTCAGTCGTTTTCAGCATCCAAAGACTCAACAGGTCAGTCTCTGCTATAGATTGACTTACCAGACGTGTGACAAAGCCCTCACCCAGCAACAGGTGGCATCAATGCAGTCCCAGCTTAGGAAAGAGATTCAGCAAAGGCTACACGTAATACCTCGGTAGTTTAGTAAATTTATTTCTCTGGAGTGATCCCCGTGGGTGTGTGGGTGTGGGTGCGGATGCCAATGAAAAAGGCCAAGTTATAACTGGTAGTCCTTTTTGGACTTTGATTTTTATAAAATCTTTAACCTTGTGACTTTGGCCAGTGTTGGTTGAGTGTAGAGAACTGTGGCTCAGGGTGCCTGGGTGACTCAGTCAGTTGAGTGTTGAGCATCCAACTCTTGATTTTGGCTCAGGTCATGATCCCAGGGTCATGAGATCGAGCCCCGTGTCAGGCTCTGCGCCGAGCCTGGATCCTGCTTCAGAGTCTCTCTCTCCTCCTGTCTCTCTCCCCTGCTTGTGCACTCTCTCTAAAATAAAAATAAATAAAAAATATTAAAAAGTAAAAAAGAAACTTGTGGCTCTGTCACTTAAAAGACTATAATGTGATCAGTGACCTTTGGAGTTGTACAGTATTTTGATCCTGAGTAATGACTAGGAAAACAAATACAACAAAACTGTCTTGCATTTTATATGCTCTATTGTGAAGATGCAATAGAATTTGAGTGTCTTATATTTTCCATACTGCTAATTCCTCTTTCTTTAACCCTATTGTATTATGTCATTACATCAATTTACAAGAGTGGTTTTTGGAGTCAGACCAACATTTATTAGCTTGGGTAAGTTGAAAGTCTCCATAATTAGTATTGGTATTATTATAATATTTACTACATGGTTGACTCCTGTGGGAGTCATTGAACTAGTTAATGTCAGATTTAGAGTTCACACTTGGGTCTGACTCTAAAGCCCACGTTCCTTCTGCCGTTGTTATTTCTCCCACCTAGTCGTCTTCAGTAGTAACCTCTCATCTGTAAACTTAGCCCTCCTAGATTTTGGAGGCTTCTGTTATAAGCATCTCTAAGAGACACTGGGAGACTGGCTCAGCCCAGGACTCTACAGAATGAAGTACTCTAATATTAAGTAATGGATGTTCCTGTTAATGAGTAGTTAGGCTCCACAGATTGGAATTATATTGCAAACTCAGAAGGAAATAACTGTCTTATTTGTTCTTGTATTTGGAGAAAAACGTGGGAAGTAAAGAATGGAAGCCAAGAAACACAATAGGAGGTTATTACGGTAACACAAACAAAAGAAAATGGTGACCTGGACCAGGATGGTAAGAAGCTGTTGGGTTGGGTAATATTTAAAAGGATTTGCTGGTGAACTAACTATATGTGCATGGGTGAAGGGTGTGGGGTTGAAGAAACAGAGGAATCAAGCAGGACTGACTCCGTGCTTTTTTGACCTGGAAGAATAGAAGTATCATTAATGGGGATGGGAAAACTGGCATAACAGTTGGGGGAATGGGGTAAAGAACCAAGAGATCTCTTATAGATATATTTATTGCTTAGCCTTCTACATACACTACAAGCGAATAGAGGGCAGATAATGTGAGATATAACTTGTTTTTATGCTCAAGGTAGCGTTTGAGCTGGATTTTAAAACAAGAGTAGGGATGTGATGGGAGGATTGTTAGGCAAGGACTGCTGCAGACTAAGTCTGGAGTTCTCTCTTGTCCAGCAAGAGATCAGACACAGAACTGAACACAAGAGATGCTAATATCTGGGAGGAGACAAGTGCCCCAAATGGGTTTCGTCTCCATATTTATTGAGCACTCAAGGTCTTACACATGTGGTAAACATGAAGAAAACAATGAGATAGTAATTATTAACTTGTGTATGTAAGAAGCAAAGGGTCTGGGGGGGGTGAGCAATGGGAGTTTGTGATCAAAGTATAATAGTATATTGGTGTCAGATGGAAAGTAATTTCCTGCAAGTGATATAACACGTTTCTCATGATCCCATTACACTATCTCTCTAACTTCCGGCACTTTCAACCCGTGGTGGCGGCTTCCCACCCTAAGCTTTTTTCTAACCCGTTTGTATAAGTAGAACCTATTTCCCCATAGAGGAATTGCACTTCAGGCAGAAGTACATATAAGGAAGCATCTAGGGCACTTTTCAGGCTAGTTAGTTGGAATGTAAATGTGTGTAGGGAAGTAGTGGGAGATGAGATCAGATTTAGTTGAGGCTGGATGTAGTTGATGTAAGACTGTGAATGCTAGAATAAGGCGTCGGTACTTCATTTGGCAGACAATAGAAAAACTGGTGATTTTTGATCAAGGAGGCAACATAAAATAGTGCTTTTGAAAATTAATTGCACAGGGGCGCCTGGGTGGCTCAGTTGGTTAAGCGTCTGATGTTGGCTCAGGTCACAATCTCACAGTTCTCTAGTTTGAGCCCCACGTTAGGTTCTGTGCTCATGGCTCAGAGCCTGGAGCCTGCTTCAGATTCTGCGTCTCCCTCTCTCTCTGCCCTTCCCCAGCTTGTGCTTTGCTTCTGTCTCAAAAAAATAAACATTAAAGTCTTTGAAAAAAATTAATTGGACAGTGTTGCATAGGATGAATTTGAGATGGGAGACCCCTGTTAGGATGCTATTGTAGCAGTCCTAGGTAGGGGCAGGGAGGGGCCTGCACTGGAGTGAAATGAGAGGAGGTCTTTGTAGGAGATACAGCTAGTCTGGGATGATGGATACTAATACTTGCCTGTGGGAATTGAGCACTTTGATCAATCTCCATTGTCAATAATTTTAGTATTAAATAATAACCTAGGACCTTGTCAAGTTCAGCACTCTATATAACATCCTAAGTATACAGCAATGTATAGTAAGTTGATCGTCATTTAAGTTTAAAGACCTTCTAAAACAACTTCATTATTATTCCTTCCTCTGGGTTTTATGTATACGTTTTCATAATTTTATGTATATTTATTCATATTTTACATCTTTTTATTTTTTAAGTCCCCTTAACTAATTTTTTGGATACAATTCACTTTACTACTTTAGTCTTTTAATTTTCATACTGATTACTACCTTGACTGTGTAATTGCATTTACTCATGAATTTTTTTCCTTTCAAACTTGTCTTACTTCTAGTTACGGCTTTTACCCTCCACTAACAGAAGTCCCTTTAACATTTCTTGTTAAGGGTGCATTTCTGCTACTGGTACAGAGCCCCACAGGATGGGATAGAACACTGTGGTCAGGGTATCAGGAACAGATGAATAACGCCTGGGAGTCACAGGTGTGCTATCACCTGTTGACATCAGGCGCTTTCTCCTCATCTGCTGGTGGGAAAAGCATGGGCTTTGTAATAAGGTAGACATGGGTTGGACTATGGCTCCACCTTTTCTTAGCTAGGCCACCTTGGGCATAAACTTACTATAATTTACTTATTGATAAGAACAAGGTTGTTGTATTATATTTGAAAAGGATGAAATGTGTAAAATGTTTACCGAATTCCTGTAGTAGCAGTGGCAGTGCCTGGTGTCTGGTTGCATTTGTGGCACCAGAATTTTTTGGGCTTTCATTTTTCTCATTTTATATCCTGCCATTACTGCTTCGTCCCTCTGGGGCAGTTAATTAGCTACAGGTTGTCTCTATCACGCTCACCAAAATACAGGAAGGGCACTGTGTCCGTGACCTTTTAAGGACCTCCCCTCTCACCTGCAGCTGTCCTGTTATCTTTAACTGAATAAATACCTCTGCGTGCCCTGTAGAGTTGTTTGGTGACTTTGTGTTTGTGCTGAGAAATGAAGGAAGGGGTGGTGGTCGAGAGGAATATTCGGAGTTACAGATGGCTATGTTTGGGATAGCTGTGGTTGTGAAAGTCAAGTCGCACTTTCCGTTTCTTTTCTACTTTGGGATTTGCCCCAATTGGCCCAGCAACGCTATAAGTTAGCCTCGTCTGCGCATGTCAGGGACTTTTGTCCCTCGGCGGACACCGTTGCCAGCCACAGCTATGTCTCCGCGCTCGCCGCCTTGGTAGGGAGCCGAATTCTACCTTTTTTCGCCCGCGCCATGGCGAGCCGGGGGGCTCGTCAGCGCCTGAAGGGGAGCGGGGGCAGCGGCGGGGACACGGTCTCGGCGGCGGACAAGCTGCGGGAGCTGCTGTGCAGCCGGGAGGCGAGCGGCGCGGAGCCCAGGACCGAGTAGGTGTGCGGGCGCGGCGGGGGCGTGGCGGCCGGGCGGCGCGGGGCTGGCTCCGGGGGGTCTCCCGCGGGGGGCGGGGGTCCGGCCCGCCTGCCTCACCCCCCCCAGCCCCCCCCCCGGCCCCGCTGCTCTCCTGGACCGGCCCCGTGCGGGCCTCGCGGCGCCTCGGGTCCCCCGCCCCGGGTCCCGTGTTGCTCAGGGCTGCCGGCCCAGGCCCGCAGAGGGCTGGCGGCGCGGCGTTTGCGTTGGCAGAGCCTCTGTGGGAGACGTTGGCGAGAGCAGAGAGCAGACCTTTCTAGGCTGTCTCTCACGGTCTCCTTCATTGTCCGCAAAGCCCTGACCCCTTGCTCTAGAGTGTGGGGCCCGCAGCGGTCCCTGCCGGGGCTCTGCGGCTTAGGGCCGCATTGACGGAGCGGTCAGCACCCGGGACGCGAGGAGGTTGTGCGCTCCGCACAAGTGAGGCCTCTGGGCGTTTGAACAAGAGGGAGATGAATAAAGCGGTGGAAAGAAGTGACCTCGTTAAGAAAGAAAAGGAGAATGAGAGCTTTGTGGCCTTGAAGGAGTGTCTTCGATGCCATGTAGGGGATGAATGAGCTTACTCCTTTTTTTTTTTTTAATGTTTTATTTATTTCTAGGAGAGAGAGAGAGCGCGAGAGAGACAGCGTGAGCAGGGGAGGGTCAGAGAGAGAGGGAGACACAGACTCTGAAACAGGCTCTTGGCTGAGCTGGCAGTCAGCACAGAGCCCGACGCGGGGCCCGAACCCACGAACCGCGAGATCGTGACCTAAGCGAAAGTCGGACGCTCAACCGACTAAGCCACCTAGGCGCCCCTGAATGAGCTTACTCCTTAAAAGCAGGAAGTGGAAGGAGTAATTAATAAAGGTCTGCATTCCTTTCTTATTGATTTCTACTGAGAACAACTAACTTTTTAAGTGACTTACTTAAGTGTGTTTTGAGGGCCTTGCCATTCTTGTCGTTTCTGACCAGTTTTAGACCTTCTAGCTGGTGGGTCTTCCTGACACCTCCTTTCTTTGCTTCTGAGCAGGTTATCTGGAAACAAAGCAGGACAAGTCTGGGCACCTGAGGGATCTACTGCTTTCAAGTGTCTGCTCTCAGCAAGGTTATGTGCTGCTCTCCTGAGCAACATCTCTGACTGCGATGAAACCTTCAACTACTGGGAACCAGTAAGTGATTTCTTTAGTTGTCTTGTTCTTGGTTTCCCTGCTTGGAGCCTTGATGCCAATTAAGATACAAGTAGTATGCATACACGTGTGACTGGTGGTAAAACAACTTTGTTTTCACTTTTGTATTCTAAGCTGATCATTTACCAGTTGTTGAAGGCCACGGAAAATTGGGCTTTTTCACAAAAATAATTTGTAATTTTCTGATTTAAAATAAATTTTAAAGAATAATGCTTAAAGACATTTTTAAAAATATTAACACCTACTATGAAACTTAAAGGGAAAACAGTAGCTCTCTGTTCCATTTCTCACAGTCAAATCGAGTCCCTAGAGGGAACTTTCAGCTTTTTTGGTTAATCTGATGTTTGCTAAAATAAAACTACTAAGTGGTATGCTTGTACTGCTATTTCTTGATTTATACATTTGTAAGTCAGCTGACTTCCTGTTAGAGAAAATCTAGAGTGAAATTTCCCGATCCTTTATTGCATTAAGAAGAATGTTTAGTGTAGGTAGTTTAAGGAAAAGATAAGATTTAGAGTTTCTCTGTTTTGGTTAATGAGTATTTAAAAAAAAAAAAAAGGGTAAAATTCAAGCTTTCAACGTTGACCAAACAGTCTTAGGGAATTTATAATATCCTAATATTTTTCAGTATTGGGTCATTTTGATATCTATCGTTGCAAATCCTGTTGAATGTCAGCATTTTTTGTGTATCTTTCTTGTTAATTTTGCTTAGAAACTTCACCTGCATCCTGTTAGCAAGCATTTTTGGCCAATTTAACCCTGAACCTGAACCTATCTGTTTTGTACTTTCAGACACACTACCTCATCTATGGGAAGGGGTTTCAGACTTGGGAATATTCCCCAGTTTATGCGATTCGCTCCTATGCCTACCTGTTGCTTCATGCCTGGCCAGCTGCATTTCATGCAAGAATTCTACAAACTAATAAGGTAAGGGCAGGCCCACCGGGAAGCAGTTATAGCTGAACAAGAGGTGAGTCTTGGAACAGTTTTCAGAAAAGGAAAAAAATGGTTGGTTAGGACTTTTTTTTTTTTTTTTTTAGAATAGTCATTTATTCATTCATTGTAAATAAACATTAATGGAGCAACTTTTAAACATTTTTTTATTTTGATTCCGCAATAGTTAACCTACAGCCATACACCTTAGTTCCAGGTGTAGGATACAGTGATTCAACAATAATCTATGTTACTAGGTGCTCCTCAAGATAAGTGTATTCTTATTCCCTTTTATCTATTTCATCTGTCCCTCTTCCCCTGCCCCTCTGGTAACCATCAGTTTGTTTTCTGTAGTTAACAGCAGTTTTGCTTGTTTTTTTGGGTTGTCTCTCTTTTTTCTTATTTCTTAAATTCCATATATGAGTGAAATCCTATGGTATTTGTACACTGTTGTAAATGGCAAGATTTCATTGTTTTTTCTATGACCGAATAATCTTCCATCGTATGTATATACCACGTCTGCTTTATCTGTTCATCTGTCAGTGGACACTTGGGCTGCTCCATAACTTGGCTATTGTAAATAATGCTGCTATAAATATAGGGTTGCATATATCCTTTCGAATTAGTGTTTCATTTTCTTTTTTTAAAATTTTTTTATGTCTTTATTTTATTTTGAGAGACTGGGCAAGCGGGGGAGGGGCAGAGGGAGAGGGAGAAAGAGAATCTGAAGCAGGCTTCAGGCTCTGAGCTGTCAGCACAGAGCCCAATGTGGGGCTTGAATCCACAGACCCTGAGATGATGACCTGAGCTGAAGTCGGGCGCTTAACAGACTGAGCCACCCAGGCGCCCCAGCGTTTCATTTTCCTTAGGTAAATATTCAGTAATGCAGTTACTGGATCATATGATTATTCTATTTTTAACTTTTTGAGACCCCCTCCATACTGTTTCCCACAGAGGCTGTACCAGTTTACATTTCCATCAGCCTGCACAAGTTCCTTTTACTCCACATCCTCACCAACACTTTTTTCTTGTGTTTGTGATTTTGGCCATTCCAATAGGTGTGAGGTGAGATCTCATTGTGGTTTTCATTTGCATATCCCTGATGATGAGTGATGTTGAGCGTCTTGTGTCAGTTATCTGTATGTCTTCCTTGGAGAAATGTCTATTCATGTCTCTGCCCTTTTAAAAAATTTTTTGTTAGTTTTGAGAGAGTGCGTGTGAGTAGGAAAGGGACAGAGAGGGAGATGGGGGACAGAGGATCTGAAGCCGGCTCTGTGCTGACAGCAGAGAGACTGATATGGGGCTCCAAACTCCATGAACTGCAATATCATGACCTGAGGTGAAGCTGAACACTTAACCAACTGAGCCACCAAGCTGCCCCTTGGCCCATCTTTTAATTGGATATTTGTGGGTTTTTTGTGTGTTGAGTTGTATAAGCTCTTTTCATATTTTGGATATTAACTAATGGACCAACTTTTATCTGGCAGGTACTTTGTTAAGAGTTGTGGGTGTGACCCACAGTGACCAAATCCCTGCCCTCATGGAATTTATAGTTTAGTGGTAGAAGATGAACATCAAACAAGTATTTTAAATGCAGTGGGTCAGGGTACGTGGGTTATTCAGTTGGTTAAGCGTCTAGCTTTTGAGTTTGGTTCAGGTCATAATCTTACAGTTGTGGGACTGATCCTGGAGTTGGGCTCTGTGCTGGGTACGGAACCTGCTTAAGATCCTTCTCTCCCTCTCCCTTTGTCCCTTCCCTGGTCTCCTTCCCTCTCAGAAAGAGAAAGAAATGCAGTGGGTCTTAAGGCGGAGAAGTGTATGATGGGATAGCATATTAGGGAGGCTAATTTAAACAAAGTGCTGAAGGAGAATTAGTAGGAGTTAATGGAGACCTAACCTGATTACTTTTTAGGAATTTGCTATCATGTGTCTTGGCATGGATTTCTTTGGGTTTGTCTTGTTTGGAGATTACTAACCTTCTTAAATATTTAGGCATATATATATATATATATATATTTTTTTTTTGACAAATTTGGGCAGATTTTGGCTGTTATTTTTGAGAGTACTTTTTTAGCCCTGCCCTATCTTTTCTCTTAAAATTCCGGTGATATCAGTATTAGATGTTTTTATTATAGACTCCTAGGTCTCTGAGACCCTATTCATTTTTTTCCAGTCCATTTTCTATGTGTTGATTGAGCAATTTCTAATCTTCCAGTTCACCTATTTTTTCCTCTGTGCTCTCCATTCTGCTGTTGAGCCTATCTGTTGAGCTTTTATTTTGGTTATTGTATTTTTTTCAGTTGAAAATTTTCCATTTGGTTTTTCTTTATATATTCTGTTGCTTTGAGAATTTTTTTTCATTTACTTCCAGTGTGTTCTTAATTGCTCACTGAATCATTTTTGTAGTGGCTCCTTTAAAAGTTTGTCATATAATTCTGACCTTTGTCTCCTTGGTATATATTGATTGACAATTTTCATTCAGTTTGCCATCTTCCAAGTAATTTTCAGTCGAAACCTGGCCATTTGGGGTATTAGATTCTGAGACTCTGGATCTTCTTCCTGGGCCCGATGTGTTTCCTCTACATCTCTGGGTCTTACTTTATGCCGTCTGTGTGGTCTGGTTGCTTCTGATACCACTCTATCAGGAGAAAGGAGACAGTTCTCCACCTTCGTTACTGCCAGGTGGGGGTGGAAGTTGAGGTCCCCCACTTCACTCCAGTGGGCAGGATAGGGATACTTCACTACTGCTAGGTGGGATGAGGAGGTGGAAGCCTACCTAGGCTTACCCAAGTAGTCTTCACTGACCCTGTGTCCAGAGAGGGAGCTCATTACACCAGCAAGGATGAAGGCTTCCTACTGGACATTTGATGGCCTGGGTGGGAGTTGGGCTACTTCCCCCCCCCCCCCCCCCGGGGTGCTTGCTGGAGTAGAGTGATTATTGACTAAAGGTTTTCTGTGTTGTTTGGCTTCTCCTGTCTTGGCCTCTTGGCTAGATCAGCCAAGCTTTGATTGGTGTGTGTTTGTCAGTGCTCATTGGCATTTCTACTGCCACCTTCTTTAGCTCTAAGTCTGAAATGTAGAAGGCAAAAAGAAAATTGGGGAACTCCCCACTGTTTTTTTCCTCAGGTCCTAAAGTCCCTAGGCAGTCTGGCACCTTCTCTCTACCTTGAGTCGTCTTAGGTTTACTTTACCTGTAATGTGCAGTTTTTAACTCTACATAGTAGGAGGAATAGGGAAAAGTATAGCTAATCCATCTTGTATGAGGCAGAAGTCCCTGATTAGAGAGCTAGACGTTCAGTAGGAATCGGCTAGATAAAGGGAAAATGGGGATGAGGGAGGAAAGCCATGAGGCTGGGAAGAGGGCCAGCATGGCCTTACATAAATAGGTTTGATGCTTGGAAGAGAGGGAGTGGTGGAGTTAGTTGCAAGATACTGAAAGGTAGGAGGAGGCCAGATTTATACAATACCTGGTAGGCTCTCATAAGGAATTTAGACTTTATCCCCGCCTCCACCGGCCCCCCAGGACATTCTGAAGCTATCCAGAGGTTTTAGAGGAGAGACATGATTGCATTTGCATTTTAGACTCATCAGAAAGATAGTACCTATAGAAGGTGATAGAACTGTCCTTTGCTTCCCTATCTTTTCATTTCTGCTTTCTTTTTTTTTTTTTTTTTTAAATTTAGAAGAAAGGTATACAGGATGAGGTCTTCATAGAGAAATAACAATATGCAATGCTTAAGGATTTTATTTCCGCTTGAATATCCACTGTTCCTTCCAGTTTGACGTGTTCAACCGAATCCTTCATTTTCTATCACTTTTGCTTTTATGTTAATGACAGGAGCAGGAAGCACAACAGGAATGAAGATTTCCCTTGTTCTTTCTTCTAATCTCCTCCCTGTTAGGTTCTGCCAATGGAAGCCAACAGGGGGCCACTTGGCAAGGGGGAATTAGCTTAAAGAGTCCCAGCCCCAGCATCCTGATGCACAGTAGAGAGGGTGGATTGTTACTGAAAGACCATCTGGTAATAATTGGCACCCCTTAGTGTTGGTTACCTTTCCAACTTCTTGCTACTCTAAATAAGAATACCTTTATTTTGTCTCTTTGAACTATGTGCTCAGGAGTAGGATCCTGTACATAGATCCATAGGCTACTTAATTTCATGCATGGGGTACTGCCAGATTGCTCCCTAGAATGGCTATCCAACTTCACACTTCTGCAACAGTGTTCCACATCTCAGCCACCTTACACCTCCTGAGCACTTGATATTTCTGACTTGCTAATTTTTGCCCTTCTCATGCATGTGAGATGTTTCTCATTTTAATTGGATTTCTCCGATTACATGTGAGGTGCAACATTTCATTTAATAGTCATTCGTATTTTTTTTTTTTTTCTGTGAATTACCTATTCATATCCTTTGCCTGTTTTTCAGTTGGGTTTTCTGGTTTTCTTTACGGATTTGTAGAAGTTCTCAAAGTAACCACTTGAAGGTTTTAGGTACTGGAAATCTTTTGGCTGTTGCCTCTCTATTGTGTCTGTGGATCTTTGTTGAACAGAAATCTTTAATTTTGATACAGTCAGCCCAATTAGTTTTTCACTTATGATTGGTGGGTTTTGGGTCTTTCCAAAAGAAATCCCTCCTTACCACAGTTCACAAAGATGTCCTTACATATTTTCTTAGCTTTATAATTTTACCTGTCACATACGAGGCTTTAATGCACTTAAATATTTTTTAAAAAAGATTTTTAAGTAATCTCTACACTCAATGTAGGGCTTGAATTTGCAACCCTAAGATCAAGAGTTGCACACTCCACTATACTGAGCCAGACAGGTATCCTAATTTGAACATTATTTTTTATAAATTATAGAAAGAGCTTTATTTTTTTGTGGCAGAGTGAACTGGATTTTTAAGTCCTATCTGCTGAGTAATCCATCCTTTCTCTGATTTATGATACCATATCTATCAGGTACTTTATTCCTACATTCATGGGTCTTTTCTTGGCCTCCTTATTCTATGTCCTTGGTCAGATTGTCAGTACCATATTTTTATTATGGTTTTGTTGTGTGTGTTAAATATCTGGTTGATAAACTTCTCATGTCGATTTTATTACATTTATTTTATTTTAAATGTTTTATTTATTTCTAGGAGAGAGAGAGAGACCACGTGAGCAGGGGAGGGTCAGAGAGAGAGAGGGAGTCACAGACTGAAACAGTCTCCAGGCTCTGAGCTGGCAGTCAGCACAGAGCCCGACGCGGGGCTTGAACCCACGAACCACGAGATCATGACCCGAGCGAAAGTTGGACACTTAACCGACTAAGCCACCCAGGCGCCCCTCATGTCGATTTTAAAATCTATATTTTAAAAATGATTACAGGGACGCCTGAGTGGGTCAGTCGGTTAAGCGTCCTACTTCAGCTCAGGTCATGATCTCCTGGTTCGTGGGTTCGAGCACTGAGTCGGGCTCTGTGCTGACAGCTCAGAGCCTGGAGCCTGCTTCAGATTCTGTGTCTGCTCCATCCCCCGCTCGTACACTGTCTTACTCTGTCTCTCAAAAATAAATGTTAACAACAAAAAAAAAATCCTTCCAGAATCTGTTTGTCCTTCCCCCAAATTCTGCTGGGTTTTGATGAGAGTTGCACTGAATTATATATTAATAGGAGAATCAATGTTTATAGGTTTGTTATTTTCATTCTTAAAATGATCTGATCCATTTAGTCAGGTTTTCCATGTCTTCTAATAAAATTTTTAGGTGTACCCAATTCAGTCTTATTCTTGGGTAGGTTAAGGCTTAACATTCTTGATACTTTTTGTTGCTATTTGGAAAGAAATCTTGTTTTGCTAATTTTTTAGGTGGTCATTGCTCATACAGAGGAATACAGTTGATGTTTGTTTTTTTGATCTTCATCTAAATCTTGCTGAATCTCCTTATTAGTGTCCTTGGTTTATCAGGTGAATCTCTTGGATTCTCTTACATCTGTGCATAAAGTTCAGTGTCTTTTATTCTATAATACCTCATTTTTTTTGTATATCATTTTGCCCCAACCAGGACTTCTATTTATATGTTGGATGTTATTTGTTGTGGGGACATTGTTATCCTACTTCTAAATACAACTCTTATATTAACTCAGGTTAATTTTTAACTTTCTAAATGTGTTTTGTACTCTCCCCAATTAGATGAGGAGTGCTTATGCATGTAGACACTTGGTACTAAAATTATCTGAATTCCTAGGAGCATCTGGAATAGTGTTCAGTGTATACTAGATATTCAGTATGTTTTTATTGAATTAATGAATGAGTCTGGCATTTATTGGCTGAAGTCAGGCACTCAACCAGTTGAGCCGCCCAGGTGCCCCAAGTCTGGCATTTATTGGATCACTTTATTGAACTCTGGAATTTTTTGGTTCTAGTGATAAAAATGGGAAGTATTTCTAAGTCATATGTAATTCTATTAATTATAACATCTATTTCAGTAGTGCTTATATTCTGAGGTAGTCCAGGCTCTTAAACATACCAGTGTGCTACAGTATGAAAGCTATTCAATAGAACCCCTATTATTAATGTTTATTTTTTAAATCGGTGTTAATTATAAACTTAATGAAATCACATTACAGATACTTGGAAGTAGGAAGGAAAATCTGCACCTAACTCCCACCAGCTTGATTCAGCCGTCTTTACCATTTTCTCACATTTCTTTTCAGCCTTTTTATATGCTTCTGATTTCCAAAGCTGTGATTCTGACATGTAAATGATAACGTATTGTGCATTTTTACCTGGTATTGTGTAATTATCAATATATAATAGTTTAGGAAATGTTTGTTGAATGTAGGAGTTTTATATCTTATTCTTTCACTGTTTCTGTAACCGTAAATTTTATCTGTGTAGTAGTCCATGAAATGTGTAGCAGAATTGACTCCCCGCACCCCCCACCCCCGTAATCGGATGTTATATAGTTCTTTTAAACCATTTTCTTCCTTAAATTAATAGTGTTGCAATGACCATTTGCATGAGTAGAACTAACCCCCCTGCCCTTACTTCAGTTACGTCTGTGGGCTGGAGTCCTAGAAATAGGTATACTGGGTCTTGGGATATGACCATGTTTATGGTTCTTGATCCATACTGCCTTTTAAGAGGATTATACCAGTTCACAATGTTACTAATGACAAATGAAAGTGGTTTGATCTTGAAGGCTTTGTATGACTTTTGTTGGTTTTGTTAAAATTTTTTAACGTTTTATTTTCGAGAGGGAGATCGAGACCGTATGAGTGGGGGAGGGTCAAAGAGAGAAAGAGACCCAGAATCTGAGGACAGGCTCCAGGCTCTGAGCTAGCTGTCAGCACAGAGCCCGATGCAAGGCTCCAGCCCATGAACCATAAGATCGTGACCTGAGCCGAAGTCAGGACGCTTAACCAACTGAGCCACCCAGGTGCCCCATGACTTTTGTTTTCTTGTTTTTGGTTTCTTTCAGATTCTTGTCTTCTACTTTTTACGATGTCTCCTGGCTTTTGTGAGCTGTATCTGTGAACTTTACTTTTATAAGTGAGTATAAAAGCTTTGCTTCTGAAAGTGTTATGAGGAAGCTCAATACAGCATAAGATTATTTCTGATAGCATACGCAGTATTTATAATAGAAAATACTTTTCTCCTAGCTCCTAATATTATATTTGGAGTAGGACTTCAAAATTTTTTTCACTTTTTTTGATGTACAATTGAAATAGAACATTGTGTAAATTTAAGGTGTACAATTGTTAAATGTATATGTATGAAATATGACAGTAAGGTTAACACCTCCATCACTTCACATAAAAACACCTTTGTGTGTGGTGAGAACATTCAAGATGTACTCTTCTAGCAACTTTCAAGTGTAATAATGTATTGTTAACTATATTTACCATGCTGTATATTAGATCTTCTGGAACTTACAGTTGGAAGTTTAGGAGATATTGGTCAAAAGATATAATCTCCCCCTGTCCCCCTGACTCCCTGCTTCCCCAGCCCCTGGTAGCTACCATTCTGTTTCTACCAGTTTGGCTTTTTTTAGATTCCGCATGTGAGATCTTTACACTATATGTCTTTTAGTATCTGACATTTCACTTAGAATCCTAGCCTCAAGGTCCACCCATCTGTTGAAAATGGCAGGATTTCCTTTTTAAATTCCATTGTATATCTTAAGAGTTTTATTTATTTTTTAGAATACTTCTCAGTGAGACAGTGAGAGTGGGGGCTGGGGAGGGGCAGAGAAGGAGAGAGGGAGGGAGACAGAGAATCCAAAGCAGGCTCCACACTGTCAGCACAAAGCCCAATGTGGGGCTCGAACCTATGAACTGTGAGATCACGACCTGAGCTGAAGTCAGGCACTCAACTGACTGAGCCACCCAGGTGCCCCTATTCCATTGTTATCTATACAACATTTTCCTTATTCATTCATTCATAGATGGACATTTAGGTTGATTCCAGATCTTGGCTATTAGGAATAGTACCGTAGTAATCATGGGGTACAGATAGCTCTCTGAGATAGTGACTTCATGTCCTTTGGATTTATACCCTGCTGTGGGTGGGATTGTTGGATCACATGGTAATCCTATATTTAATTTTTTTCCTATTGATTTTTTTGAGGAAATAAGTGAGCTTATTTTTTCAAATACTGGAGGGGAATACTTCTCATTTCACTTTCTTTCCAGAGGTTCATAAATTCCATATCTTCATATGACGTTAAATGATGTTTAAACACCTAACTCGTGTTTTATTTGGTAGAAGCTAGTAGAGCCTTATTTTTGGCCCCAAGATAGAGGATTATGATTTACCTCTTCCCCTTGAACGTAGATGATAGGAAATTATTCCCATTGTGGGACTCACTAATCTTAATTTTTTTTTTTTTATGTTCATTTGAGAGAGAGAGAGAGAGAGAGAGAGAATATGCAAGCAGGGAAGGGACAGGGAGAAACAGAATGTGAAGCAGGCTCCAGACCTGAGCGGTCAACCCTGAGCCTGATACAGAGCTCAAACCCATAAACGGTGAGATCATGACCTGAGCCGAAGTTGGACACATAACTGAGTGAGCCACCCAGGCACCCCAGGACTCCCTGCCCTTATTCGCACCTCGTACATGGTCTTTTCCCAAGTACCTATTGGTTGGTTGAAGTATTAAGCATTTAAGTGTTACAGTAATAAAAATAACCACTTTATTTTTTTTTTACATGAAACCTAAGACACTTTAATAATGCTTTAAAATGTATTTAGACTTCATAATCATTTAAAAATCTCTCCACTGCAAAACAGATAAAAATACCATATTAAAAAATTCTTTGGTCTTGAGTCTGGGTGACACAGAGGAGAAGAAAGAAAGCCAGTGCTGTCTTTGAGGATTGTAACCATATGTTGGTCTTCTTCTGGGTTCAGGACTGAATTCAAATCCTCTGTACGGTCCCTCAAGCCCCAAGTTGAGAATTTATTTCAAAACTGTTCTGGGTTGGTAGTACCCCTACCAGTTGGACGCTTAACTGACTGACCCACCCAGATGCCCCCGAATAGGCCTTTTTTTTTTTTTTAATGTGGTAATTCTATTTTTTATTTTTTTTATTTTTATTTTTTTTTACAAATAGTTTATTGTCAAATTAGTTTCCACAGAACACTCAGTGCTCATCCCCACAAGTGTCCTCCTCCATGCCCGTCCCCCTCTTCCCCCCACATCCATCAGTCCTCAGTTTTTGTCAGCATTCAAGAGTCTCTCATGGTTTGTGAATAGGCCTTTTTCTAAGGAAGAAACATGCTTAGCGAATGGGTATATGAAAAGATGGTGTCACTAATCATAAGGGAAATGCAAATCAGAACCACAATGAGCTATATGACTCCATCGTTGTTAGAATGGCTGTTATCAAGAAAAAAACAGCTGGTGTTGGCAAGAATGTAGGATTGGAACCTTAGCATCCTGTAGGTGGGAATTCAAAATATATCGACTATGCAAACAGTATGGAGGGTCCTCAAAAAACTAAAAATTGAAGTGCAGTATGATCCAGCAATCCAGCTTTTGGATATTTAAAAGAATTGAAACAGGATCTTGAAGAGGTATCTGCACTTCCATGTTTATTGTAGTACTATTCACAGTAGCCAAGATCGGAAACCACTTAAGTGTCCATTGACTGATCCATGGGGGAAATGCGGTATATATGTAGAAGGGAATACTCAGAAAAGAAGAAAGTTCTGTAATATGTGACAACATGGATGCACCTTGAGGACCTGCTGAGCTAACCAGTTACAGATGGACAAACATTGCATGATTCGACGTGTATGAGGATTCTAAAACTCCTGGAAGCCGAGAATAGAATTGTGGTTGCCAGGGGCTGGGGGGAGGGGGAAATGAGTTGCTGATCAATGGGTATAAAATTTCTGTTGTACAAGATGAGTAAGTTCTAGAGAGCTCTACAACATTGTGCCTATTAGCTAACAATACTGTATTTTACACTTAAAAACCTGTTAAGAGGGTACATCTATCGCATGTTCTTACCACGATAAAATAGAAAAGCTAAAAGGAAAAAGGAATGAGACTACAAAAATAGCCCAGCAGATTTGAAAAAGAGCCAAGCAGAACTTGTAGAAATGAAAGTAAACAACTGACACTTAAATTTCAGTGGCTAGTTGAAATTGCTAATTAGACGCTGCTAATGAGTAAACTTGAAGATTGATCCGAATAAATCAGTAAGAAGTACAGAGTGACAAAAAGGAAATAAAAGGAAAATGATAGGAAAATATAAAGAGGTTAAGAAACCTCTATGGTAGCATTGATGGATCCAATGTCTATCTAACCAGATTCTAGGAGATGATCGAATGGGGAGAAGGCAGTATTTGGCGAAATCATAGCTAGAATTTTCCAGAATTAGTGAAAACCAAGATCCTATTTCATAGATTCAGGGAGTCTAACCTGTCCTGAGCTGGATAAATAAAAGGGAATTCGTGAAACTACATAGAACACTAAGGGCAAAGAAGGTCTTAAAAGTTGACAGAACTGGGGCGCCTGGGTGGCTTAGTCGGTTAAGCGTCCGACTTTCGCTCGGGTCATGATCTCGCGGTTCGTGGGTTCAAGCCCCGCGTCGGGCTCTGTGCTGACTGCCAGCTCAGAGCCTGGAGCCTGTTTCAGTCTGTGACTCCCTCTCTCTCTGACCCTCCCCTGCTCATGCTGTCTCTCTCTCTCTCCTAGAAATAAAAAAAAAACAACATTAAAAAAAAAAAATTGACAGAACTGATAGAAAATACCTACGAAGGAATGTTAGTTAGACTGACAGAAGCCCTCTCCAAAGCCAGAAGGTTAAAAAAAAACCAAAAAACAAAAAACACTTCAAAGTGCCCAGAGAAAATGGCTTAATCCTAAGATGGTGTACTCCGCTAAACCATCTTTTAAGACGAAGCGCTAAATAGGACTTCGATGTAGCACCCCGCACCCGAATAAATAAACCAAACAAAAATGGGAATTTGCCACTAGCAGATCCTCACTCGAGAAACTTTAAAAAGATACTTAGGTGGAGAAGCCAAGAAAGAAGCTCTGAGCTTCACTAAGGGACCTGAGCAGGAGGGTGGTTAACACGGGGGGTCGGTGTTGGAACAAATGTTTACCAGATGAAGCTGTGATGACTTCTAATAATGTTTACAGGGTTAAAGACCTCCACGAAAGAGGTAAATGAAGTGTATACTTAAGTCTGAGAAATGGGAACTGACGCTTTGTGTGTCTCCTAGTCTCCTCTTATAACTACCATTTGTTGAGCAACTCTGTTCCAGGCACTCCAAGCATTTTTCCACGCATTGTCCTCAACAGAAATCTTACAAAGTAGACCTTCTCATTACCCTGGCTTTACAGATGAGCAATCTGATAGCGTTGTCACTAGGCCAGGGTACTGCTGTTAGTAAGTGGCGGAGCCCAAATTTGAACCTGTGCCCCTCTGAATTTGAGGCCTCTTGGTTTTTCCCCACATCATGCTGTTTTCCTGTTGATGTATACACAATCTCAGCAGAGCAAGCGTGCATTTCCTTTTAGGTAGAGTGCTTCTCTTCTGCTTAAAGAATAAGAATGTTTAGGTTTGTCAGGCACACAAAATTGCTGACAAACCTGTCCAGAAAGTTCTGTGTTTGACTTTAAATCTTCAGTGTTCTCTGCGGAGCAAGCATGTTTTTGTCCTTTGCTTTGAAACGTCTGTCCCTAAGGTTTGCCATGCTGATAGTCTTTGCCTTTCTCCTAGGGCTGTGTGCAAGAAGTTTGGGCTGCATGTGAGTCGGATGATGCTGGCCTTCTTGGTTCTTAGCACTGGCATGTTTTGCTCATCATCAGGTAAGTAAATGGACAGGTAAAGGCGTAACAGGTGCACTGATCTTTCTGCGTTGAAAGGATCAACTTGTCTAGGTGTAGGTTACGTTGTATAGCTTGTCCATAGCTTGTAGAGCACTGTTAATGACTTGATCTTCACCATCCTTTACGGCAGCCTTGTGTTAGGGTATGATAAATATTTTCCTCTTGTGCAGATGAGGACTCAGAAACTTAGAAAAGTGAAAAGAAGTTATTTTCACCATGTTGCTCTGTTACATTGTTGTAGTTTTTTTTTTTTTTTTTTTTAAGTCATCTCACAAGGCTGAAAAACCAGCACCCATTGCCTTTCCCTGTTAGTAGGGGAAGAAAAATAATTTTCTTCTTTTGCTCTTGTTTGTGTGTAAAAGCCCTATTCTTTATGGTTTTGCTTTCTGCCTGTTATTTGCAGTATGTTCTGTAAAGGTATACATTCTCTTTGTTGGGCTTTCCCCTCCCTTTTTAAAGCGTAAACCTAAAGGGAAGTTAGAATATTAGACTGGTGGCTTACAAACTCTGCTCCATTGAACACTGTGTCCTCTGAGCTGAGTCACGGTAGCCTCTTGCCAAAAGGTAGCCTGATGCTCCGGAAAAATGAAGCCACTAGATAGAATTATGTCACTTTTAGTTACTGCTTGTGTATACCAGAGTCCAGTATGCACACTAAATATACACAAAACATCGTATCTAGCACACAAGTATGTATTTCACTTTATTGACTGTATCAAAACCTATGTTCTGCAGGGACCTCAGGACTCTGCACCTAAATAATTAAAAAAATTTTGTTAATTATTTTTGAGAGAGACAGAGCACAAGTGTACAAGTGGGGGAGGGACACAGAGAGAGGGAGACACAGAATTGGAAGGAGGCTCCAGGCTCTGAGCTGTCAGCACAGAGCCCGACGCGGGGCTCGAACCCATGAACAGTGAATAATTTTGTGTCACTGTCCTAAAAGAGACTGCTGACCTCTCTGAGCTGGCAGAGGCCTCCAATTCCTCTGCTCCCTTTGTTCTCTACGTTGGCAGCATACTTGATAGCTTTGGGTGGCATCAGTATTATTTAGCATTGATCTGTGAAGTTGTACCTTCCATTTTTTAAGTTACTTCGGTACTCTTAAGACTGATTCTTAGGTGGGAGAGGTGTTCATTAGTGGCTTTAGCTTTGTTATCTCAGTTGAGGATATTAAGGCACAGAGAAGTTCAAGGCATGCTTTTATACATAGCCTTTAAACCCTTTACTGACTTTTGAGCAGGGCTTGTGCAGCCTGGAGGATCAGATTGCATTTTTGTGTCAAATTGTTAGAACCACTGATCAAATGTTACTGTAATGAGACCCTGAAGGCACTCAGTCCTCTGCTGTTTGCCACAACAAAGTAATGCTAGATAGGAGTAATCAGGGGACATCTAAAGACCAGATCATCCATGTTAGTGGATGCAGGATGCAATATTTGGCCCATGAGAAGGCTTCCTCGAGTTCCTCTGCGGTAAAGTTAGTGCCAGAGCAGTCTCAGAAGACTACCAGAAGATAAAATTCTTCAGAAATAGTCAGCAGTGGCTCTTAAGTTCCTTGAAACATATTCCCTACCTGGAAACATAACTGGAATTGTGTTAAGTTGTGCATTTGGAGTACAGGCCAGAAGAATGGCATGGTTTGTATTGTATAACCAGGCAGCATGTTGGTACCTAAAAAAAAAAAAAAAAAAAAAAAAAAATAGGCATGAGAAAGTGAGAAGATCCTTGAACTTCATGGTTATTTTAAGGAATATCCTGTTACTATGCATTTCTAATAGAGCGTTCCTCAAAATATGTTCCTGGCTATTGATCTGCAATGTGGGTAGATTTTTGATTATACCTACTCAATCGCAAACTTTTGTCTCCCCACTCCGCTTGTGTTCCCCCTTTCTTTACTCTTGCAGCACTCCTTCCTAGCAGCTTCTGTATGTACACCACGCTGGTAGCCATGACTGGCTGGTACATGGACAAGACTTCCATTGCTGTGCTTGGAGTAGCAGCTGGGGCTATCTTGGGCTGGCCATTCAGTGCTGCTCTTGGGTAAGAAACCAACACGATTCATCTTCTTGTATCTCTGGGCACACGGTAAATCCCAGCGTTGGCTGATCTCCCCTTTCCCTGGTTATGACCTAAGTCACGGGAATGAATTAGACCTACAAAGATTCTGGGAGTTGGAAGAATCTCTTGGTGTTTATCTAACACGAATAGTGCCTATTGGGCATCTGCTGTGTGTTAAGTGCTGCTAAACCCCTTACAAATTTGACTTCTAAACCTTATAACAGCTTTGCAGGAGAAATCAGTTATTAGTGCTTCAGTAGTGAGAACGTAGACTCCAGGAGGGTGAGGAATTTGCCTTGAAGATGACGATTGCTTTTGGAGCCAGGCCTCCCTGACTCCACCACTGATGGTTCTTCCCTGCTGCAAGCCTTGGTGCCGTGCATGTCCCACTCCCAGGCCTGATGCCGGACTTTCCCTGCAGGCTCGTGGCCTTGGCCTCAGCAGCTTTCTCCCCGAGGCCTGTAGTCTTTCTTGCTCACGTTCCTTGTTTTTACCACTTCAGCTCTAGTCTGTGCTGCCTTTGCTTCTCACTCGCATTGCGAGTAATTTGGAAAAATACTGTAGTTTGATGTTAAGGTTATTCTAGTACAGCTGACCCTTGAACAGCCCCGGGGGTTAGGGACACTGACCCCCTGCACAGCCAGAAATCTACATGTAACTTTTGACTCTCCAGAAACTTCATAATGGCTTATTGTTGACCAGAAGCCTTACTGATAATTAACACATACTTCGTATGTTATATGTATTCTATACCATATTCTTTAAAGTAAGCTAGAGAGAAGAAAGTGTTACTAAGAAAAAAAGATTTGTTCACAGTACTGTCTATACTATATTTCTAAAAAACAATTGATGTATATGTGGACTCACATAGTTTAAACCCATGCTGTTCAAAAGTCAACTGTACTACTATATTTCTATTATAAAAAGTGCCAGTTTGTATTAGGTGAAAAGAATTCCTGATTCTCTTTGCCCATAGCCTAATCATCAAAGGTAGTTTTATATACTTTTCTAGAAACTGTCCTCGTGTGTAAATGCATACATACCTATGTGTGTACATCCTGGAAATTCTTAATTAGAATTGTACCTGTACATACTTTCTGTTGTACATACATAGGTCTTTGTACAGGTTGCATTCCATTATCTGACCCTGATTTAGCCATTGCCTTATCAGTAGAGATCTAGATTTTGGTGTTTTTGCTTCAGTGAACATTTTTGTTCACATGTCTATATGTTTATGGAAATTCATTGATAGGGTAAATTTTTAGAAGGGGATTTACTGAGAGGATAGGTATTCTAAGTTTTCTTAATTGTCTTATGTTTTTTATTGCTGGTTTTTAATATTCATTTTTGAGAGAAACAGAGTGTAAGTGGTCAAGGGGCAGAGAGAGAGGACACAGAAATTCAAAGCAGGCTCCAGGCTCTGAGCTGTCAGCACAGAGTCCAATGAGGGGCTCAAACTCTCAAACCTTGAGATCATGACCTGAGCTGAAGTCGGCCGCCCAGGCATCCTTTTAATTTGTCTTCTAAAGTCTGGTTTCCCCACCTCCAATCTTCCATTCTGTTTATCCTCCTCAAAATACTGTATTCAGAATTTTGTATGAGGCCCTTTTCTGTTTTTTCTCTTACCTCAACCATCTTGATCATTCCCACGTCTTTAAATCTGATCCAGTCATCTTCTATATTACTAGCTGCCTGTTAGATACCTCCTTTTATATAGCTAAACATGTACAAAACTGAGCTCACTATCTTCCCTTCATAGCTGTTCTTTTATCTATGTTTCCATCCCAATAAATGATACCACCATCTCCTCAGTGCTCAGTCAGGAACCTGAAAATTATCTGTGACTCTTTTCTCTTTCCCATGTCCTGCTTATTGTGTGTCCTGAATACCTTGAATCTGACTACTTTTCTTCACCTCTGCTCCTGAATTACCACACAGCCTCCTAAATGATCTTCCCATCTCTAGGCTTGATCTCTGTAAATCTGTTCTCCACAGTCAAACTAGAGTTACCTTCCTAAAATGCAAATATGACTGTATCACTCTCTGTTTTGAACTCTGTGGTAGCTTCCCCATTACTCTGTGCCACAGAGGTTGACAGCCTGTGGCCTGTGGGCCCAGTCCGGCTGGTCGTGTTTTGTACAGCCCAAGAACTTAGGAAGTTATTATGTTATGAAGGGTTGTTAACCGCACACACACATACTACAGACACACAATATGCAACAGAGACCATATGTGGCCTCAAAGCCTAAAATCTATTCTGTCAGGTCCTTTAAATAAAAAGCTTGCCAACCCCTGGTTGATGGTATCCAGATTCTATCTGACACGAGTCACAAAACCCCAGTCGGGCTCCTTTTTACTTCTCCAGTAAGTAAAAGTACTTTTTTGTTTGTTTGTTTGGTTTTTTTTGGTCTGTTCCTCCATTCCTTTTACTCTGCACCATCGACCTTGAACTGTATGAGCTCCTCAAATCCCTCTAGGCGGCACATTTTGATTGGTCTGCCATTAGCTGAGATCAGTGATTTCAGGATCACAGTCAGCAGTCTACCATCATTTATTGACTACTTTGTGCTGCACACTGCTGATGCTGTGATAAAGAAGACAGTTATGCTTCCTGCTCTTTTGGAGCCTACATTTTAGTAGGAAAGACAGACCTTGAACAAGTAAGTAAAAGTATGATGACTTCCCAAAGGAGAAGCACAGATGCCGTGGGAATGTCACTGGTTGAGCAGAACAAAATGAAAACACAAAATGTTAATGCAAAACTTAGACGATAGACTAAGTGGAAGTTCTGTCACAGAAGAGATGCCTGTGGTAGCACACGACATTGCTAAGTAAGTGATAGACATGATAATGCTGTGTAAATTCAGAGACCGGAGACTGGGTTCCACAGGGGAGTTTTGGGTAAATTCTGTAGAATCAAGATTGGTGTGGGGAGGGAACTCCTTGCGGTTGGAGCATGGGGGAAGATTCTGGCTCGTGTTCCAGATCTGGAGGTCCTGGGCATGAAGGTGATGGTTCATGCAAGAGCGGAAGTACTCCCTGAGAAGATGACAGAGAAAGGAGAGTAGAAGTTTGCTTTTGGGAAATCGGACCATGCTAGGGCACAAAAAGGAAAAGGAACACTTGGGAAGAGTCCAGAAAGAGCAAGAGCCAGGACGCTTAAAGAGGAAGGAACAGATGCTCTGTGTCAAGTGCCGCAGGAAGACCAAGGGAGATGGAGCTAGTGCAGAGATCGGGGTTTGGCTGAGGGCAGGTTCCTGCTGACCTTACGTTGTCTCCCGGCCTCAAGCCAGGCCTTCAGGAAGAAGTGGTGAAGGCAGTGTACATACGTCACTTGCTTGTGGAATTTAAGTAAAAGGGAGAAGAGCAAATGGTATTGGAAGGGGATATATCAGAACTGACGTATCGAAGTTTGTTAATATTATTAAAATCTTTATAAATCATGGAAAAGATAGGTATTTATTCATTTGGCGGGGTGGATGTAGGACCACAGGGCACATTTACTTACAATTAATGTATTTAAGTGTCTGTTACACGTAAGTAGGTATAATATGGAACTTCTGCCAGAAGCTCGGTATTAATGTTTCTTATGCATCATGGGGTGCGAAGTACTATCATGGGCTCTCTGAACAGAACACTATTTTTGAGAAGACCTCCTCTTATATGCAGGCTTTCTTTCCTTACTAACTGCTAGAGACATTTTTTCCTTCCGCTCTGTTCAGCATGAAGAGTGTGAATCAGACTTGAGTCTATATTGTAAGTATTTAATTTCCTACTTTTGTTTCTCTGTTAAATAGTTTACCCATTGCCTTTGATTTGCTGGTCATGAAACACAGGTGGAAGAGTTTCTTTCTTTGGTCTCTGGTGGCTCTGATGCTCTTTCTGGTGAGTTTGATTTTTTCCCTTGTTTTGTTTGAACATTGTAATGAAAGCATGTTCTGATGTAGGAAAGAGAACATTAGAAATTCATTCTGTTTTTGGTTCTGAAGTTTATCCTATTAGCATTGGGAGAATGTTTCCGGAACAAAACCTTGTAATTGCTATCCATCCTCTGCTCTGTTTTAGGTGCCTGTGGTGGCCATTGACAGTTACTACTATGGGAAGCTGGTGGTGGCACCCCTGAACATTGTTCTGTACAATGTCTTCACTCCTCACGGACCTGATCTTTATGGTAAGGGACTCTGGGGAAGGGTAGGACGTAGCTTCATTTGCCTGAGCTTTGAAATTTCAACTCCGTTTCTTCATTTCCTCAAATATCCTTTGGCAAATACAGCATTTCTTTGCTGGTATTCTTTTTCATGAAGAAGTGACATTTGGATGTAGCACAGCAGTGATTAAGTTACCACTAAATATTTCTTCTTGATTAATGTGATTTCTGCTCTCTGTTTTCAGTATGTTGTGGTTCTTGATGCTGCATTTTTAAATGAAAAGTTACTTTTTACACTTTTCATTAGAAAATCAGTATGATAACAAAGTTAGGAAAATAAAAACGTTCATAATCCCATCATCTCCAGATAGCTGTTGTTAATACCTTGGAGTCCATTCCTCTAGATGTCTTCTGGACGTGTACATACTTGATATTACTTTTTCTTTAAGTTTGCATTCAGTATCAGGATTAGGAGAGAAAGTTTGGAAAATGTGTAGAAAAGGCAGAGCAAATGATGGAGTCAGCGTGAGAAGGTGAGCAGTTTGGCCAGCTTTACAGGGGTGATGCCTTTAGTCTGAGAACACATTCTCCATTTTACCTCTGTCTCCCAACCCATCTCCCACCACCCCCATGCCTTCTCTCAGCCAACACTGAGCCTGTTTTGTTTGGTCCCCGAGGGCATTTGAGTTGGTGACAGCTACAGAGGGTTGTACTAGAGATCTTCCTGGTCAGATTAGCCAAATCAGTAAATGTTTACGAGACTGTTTTTCACTAAAGTAAGTGTAGTTTTTTCTGCCTTAATTTTCTGAAGGTCTTGAAGCATTTTTTTATATGTGATTGTCCTTGGGCTCTGCTGTGAAGCAAGGTAATATTACCTTTATGTCTTACCCATGATGTGCCATGCCCATCACTTTTCTGTGCCACTTTGCTAACGGGACCAACAGATTGGACGAGGAGATTTAAAGTAAGCATACGAATGAGATTTAATTGGGCCTATTGGGATTTGTAGAATATCGTTATTTAGATGGCAGTAGGTAATAGGTCAGAATAAACCATGTTTTTTTTCAGTGACTTGAATTCACAGACTGCCTTGTTAGAGAATGAATAATTGTTAAGTGAAGGAACTTTAATTTTTTTGAAAGTTTATTTAAGTAATCTCTGCCCCCAGTGTGGGGTGCAGAACTCATAACCCCGAGGTCAAGAGTCACACTCCTCTGACTGAGCCAGCCAGGCTCTCCCTAAGTGAAGGAATTTTAATAGGCTCCTTTAGGACTTCAAGATCCCCAAGGATGTGAGAAAAGGCCCTAGTTTTAAGCTTTTGCCTCTAGATGTCTCCCTTTAGCTGGAGAGAGTTTGTATGTTTTTAATTACCCTTGTTGTAGGTTACTTGTAACATTTTACTTGATTCTATAAGACAATAGAAGGAAGACTCTTTTAGACCCAGATTGCACATTAGAAACTGATTTACATGGAATCTATGGAAGGAAAATACCCATTATGTATAGGTGCATAAATTATGTTAACTTGAGTTTAATTTTGGGAGACTGGCTTCACTTTTTAAAAATTTATTATTTTTTAATTTAAGAGAGCACCCACATGAGTGGGGGAGAGCGTGTGTGTGTGTGTGTGTGTGTGTGGGGAGAGAGAGAGAGAGAGAGAGAGAGAGAGAGAGAGAGAGAGTCTTAAGCAGACTCTATGCTCAGCATGGAACTCAACTTGGGGCTCAATCCCACAACGCTGGGATCATAACCTGAGCCAAAATCAAGAGTCAGACACTCCCATCAACTGAGCCATCCAGGTGCCCCTGGTTTCACTTTCTAAACAGGGTATTATATACTGATATTTTTAAAAAAGTTTTTTTAATGTTTATTTTTGAGAGAGAGCGCCTGCATGTGTGAGCAAACGGGGGTGGGGTGGGGCAGAGAGCGAGGGACACATAGAATCTGAAGTGCAGGCTTCAAGCTCTGAGCCATCAACACAGAGCCTGACACGGAGCTTCAACCCACAAACTGCGAGATCATGACCTGAGCTGAAGTTGGATGCTGAACCGACTGAGCTACTCAGGTGCCGCACATATTAATATTTTGATTGCATAATTATAAAACTTAGAGAATATATGAAAGTTAAATATTTTTTGTAGTTCTCTAGGCAGATGAAACTTCTAAATCAGTAATAAACAGGTTGGTGGAGAGAGTAGGGAAGAGTAAATTCCGATTTATGTTTCTGGTTTTACAGTGGGTAGGTCAGGGATCCCTGTTGTGAAATCCAGCAGAGCAAGGGCCAGTCTTTCCCTGGATGTTGGCTTCTGCAGTTCGTTTTGGCCACTGTTTGGGTAGAGTCCCTGGGACTCCTGCCTGCTCTGATGAGCCTGAGAGAGCTTCAGTCCAGGTTTGGCTATTTTGAATGTACAGGGCTGATCACTTTGCTAGTGAAGAAAAAAGCTCCGATGGGACAGAAGGCATTGTTGTTCTGGGCGTCAACAGGGCTGATGCTGCATATAGTCAGACTTTAGGGGATTCTTTGCTGGTAGAATTTTTGTGCTTTTTACCTTATCTTTGAATTTGACAATTTTAGAAGGGGATTGATTTCTACTCTTGAAAAGAGAGTAACTAACTCCTTCTGCAGAGAAAATCCCTCTTCCATCTTAGAAGTAAGAGTTCTTTGTGTATTCTAGGTCCTCAATAACGATTTGTCACCATGCATAGACGGAGAACAAGTTCTGGAGTATCCATCAGGTTATATTGTGCCTTGATCACTATCGTGTCCTGCCACTGTTTTGGTTAGGCCTGCCTGTTGTGGTGTATTAGATGGGGATTTTCTTAATACCAAATAAAAATATAGAGGTAAGAGTACTTTTTATTTATTTAAAAAAAATTTTTTTTACATTTATTTATTTTTGAGAGGGCCCAAGTCAGGAATGGGCAGAGAGAATGGGACGCAGAATCCGAAAAAGGCTCCAGGCTGTCAGCACAGAGCCTGACATGGGGCTTGAACTCACGAACCCGTGAGATCATGACCTGAGCCGAAGTCGGACGCTTAACCGACTGAGCCACCCAGGCGCCCCGTAAAAGTACTTTTTAAGCCAGAAAGTACTTTATGATTGTCAGCTAATTTATATTGTAATTGGTGAGTCCATTCAGTAAATATCAAAGATTGACTTCAAAGAAATTTTTTTTAATGTTTATTTTTGAGAGACAGAGTACAAGTGGGGGAAGAGCAGAGAGAAAGGGAGACACAGAATCTGAAGCAGACTCCAGGCTGCTTCCCAGAGCCTGATGCCAGGCTCGAACCCACGAACCATGAGATCATGTCCTGAGCCGATGTCGGATGCTTAACCGACTGAGCCACCCAGCTGCCCCAACCAAGTCTGACTTTTTAATAGATGTTCTAATGCTGTTCAATTGCCAGAGAGTAAGATAGCCTATCTCCTGTCACGGAAGCTCCATCTCTTTCACTTTACATACAGGTTTCACGCTATCTGGCACTAATGGCATCATGTTGACTCTTTTGTAAGACTTTCCTGTTCCAAGTGCTTCATTAGCTATGGTAGGCATATTGTTTCTTCTCTGAAAGTTACAAATGCATCTTGATGATAGTTTCTACATTCATGTCTTAGTGCTGTTTCTTGTATGTAAGAGCAAATAAGCCTATAATACGTCTTGAACAGTTAGTTAAATGTACTTGAGTTAAAGAAACATTGACTGTTACCTTTGAGCATTTATGTCCTAGAACTAGCTGTCCAATAAGGCTGCAGTCACACAAGCAGATAATTGTAGTCCATTGTGTTATGTACTACAGTAGAAAGATGGGGAGTCACAGGCGCAAGTCCATGGTGGTGGCGGGAAGACTTTTTGAGTCAAGTCTGGAAGGAAGAGTAGAAGTTTGGTGAGTAGACACTAGAGTGGTGTATTTCAGACAAATACAATATCCAGGGTGGGGACTATCGAGACAAAAAAAATTGAATATTAGGTTCTTTTTTTAAAAAGTTAAAGTAGTTTTACAGGATTAGCTGATTTTAGATAGAAACTATACGAACATAAGCAAGATAAATTCAGTTTCTCTGTTGTGATTATAATATAAATATTTACTCTGTTGTTTCTGGTTTTCGCAGGGACCTTTCTATACTTTGTTGGCCAGAGAGCACTTATTAATGACACATTCCAGACCTGAGCTGACTCTTTGAAGCCAGGAGCAAGAAAAAGTGTTTTTTCACAACTATGAATTATAGTTGTTTGTTTATCAAATGCCTATTCTATACCAGAGATTCTACAGAACTGTCATCTTCTTGCAAAAACTCTGTGAGATAGGCATTACTTATGCTTATTCCCAGCCGTGGAAACCAAGGTGGAGATGGTGAGGGACCTGCATATAATTACTAAGTGACAGAAGTGGGATTAGAGCCCAGGGCTGTCTGACTCCAAAGCCTGTGTTCTTTCTACTGAAAACAGCCTTAGCAAATCCTTGGAGTTTGGCATTGGAGACTCTACAGGAAAATAAACAAAAACAGAGCGTGAGTTGGAGATAGAAGGAGATAAGATGTGATCTAAAGAAGGGACAGGAAGTTGGGCTTTGAAGGTGCCTGCACTGTGGCTTGATCAGGGGCCTCGGAGAGCGGCAGCACGGTGCTGTGCACGTTGGCAGGCTCTTTTCCACGCAGGAGCCTTGTGCCATGCTTGTGAAAGAAAGAAGGAATATTTGAACAAGGACAAGAATACTTGGCATTTAGGAAACTTAGTGTAGACATAAAATTGCAAAGTCATAGGCACACCATTTCTTTGGTGTCAGAGGTGAAATCAAGAGGTGAAATTTAGTGTTGCAAAAAACAGTGAGTGGTCATGGCACTGATTTTGCTTCTTACCCTTGTAACATTTCAAGTTGGCAGATGTTGGGGTTGATAAGTTTTATGTGGGGAGTGAAGAGTGGTGCTCTCTGGGGAGGAGTTCAGGCCTGGGGAAGGCGTGGGAGGGCGGGTGTGAGAAATCCTCTTCCTTCAAAGATACAGTGGGTTGGCTCAACGACGCCACTTTGCAACTTAGGACGTGATCCCTGCCTGTTGGTATGTTGATCAACGTCTGTCAGATCACTGGACAGGAAATTTCAGAAGGCAAAGGTGAATGGCCTTTATTAAATAAAAGGCCCAAAGTTTTCTATTTGCGCAGGAGTAGGGGATGAAGCCCCAGTGGAGTCTCTCGAGAGCTGACTGGTGGCAAGATCTGTTCTAGGGCTTTCATTCTTTTGCGTATCATTTTTGTTGCACCTTGGTGTCTTTTTGTTCTGGGTGTTGTAAATTTGACATTTATAAGGATGATTTACTATAATTTTGTTCTTAAGCTTTTGTAAAATTATAGGCCTATAAAATGGCTTCCTTTCATTCAGTCTGTGGAACAGTAAACATTATCCCTTCTTCTTTTAGCATATTTTAAGGTTCCCTTTAGCTCATTTAAATGAAAGGAATTGGTGCGTCATGCTCTGCAGAGACCCTGCTTACAGCTCTCGCACACTTGGCACTAGTTGAATGCGTAGCTTGTTCTGACACATTTTTTCCTGCATCGTTCAGCTTTGATAGTTTCTCAGAAGTAGCATCAAATTACCTCCCTCGTAAGACAGGAAAGTTTTTACTCTTGTCTCTTTTTAAGACAAGTGTCTAATCATGGAGAGGAGGGCACTGGCCAAGAGAGTTCACTGTTTTTGTCTTTCTGCCCTGTTGTTAAGACTGTTGTGACTTGAACCTTCCCCCAAATTTGCCCCGTTCTTCCAGGAAGCAACAGTCTTATGAAATGTTCACAGTTGAACTTGATCTGTGAGTTCCTAAGACATAAACATAGTTGAGTTTACCAAATTAATACTTTTGGTTCAGAATTTCAGAGTACAGTACACCTGGGTAGAAAGGTAGTCTGCCTGAGCAGGAGGGTATAGTCCGTTGTGGTAGAGACTGGTGTTCGCTGGGAATAAAGTGCTTCCTTGGAAAAACAGTACGTATTTGTAAGGAGCAAAGAGAGACTCCTCCCCCTCCCCCCCCCCCAGATGCTTATTAGGCTCTATAAAAGATGATCTAAAAGATGGTCTCCTTTCTCTCTAGTCACTCTGGTTTTTCTTCTCAGGCTCAGATCTCTAGAATTGGGTTGGGGAAAAGGCGGGTCAGAGTTGACGGCACTGCTGCCACATGGGTGGCCAGGAGAAGATGATGCAAACAACTACCTTTCTGGGAACCAGACTCCTAAGGGACCCGGTTTCGAAAATGTGTTGTTGTTACATATTAAAATCCAGAGAAGGCAGATATTTCTCTTTGAAAATCACCTCTTTTCTGTAACCCAGATGGGTTTTGGTAAAGAATACAGGGTATGAATGTCTCTGATGAACTTGGCCCGGGACAGGAGCTCTTTTCGTGGACATCACGCTCAACATATTTAGACGGGAAGGAGCGAGCTTTCATAAAAGGTGGCATACAGCTGAAGCAGAGTCTTTCCTTAGGGTGCCTCCACTCTCCTCTCCCCTAAATGTTTCTAGTGTTACGGGTTTGGTTTCTAATCTCATTTTGCTGTGCAAGCTGCAAAAATGTCAGGTTTTCCTGACTATTCCTCTGCCTTCTGATTACCCTTTTAAGCAGTGCTGATTGCAGGAAATTGCTATGGTGTAAGGCGGGTGTCACAACACGCAGTGATTAAAACCCGCGTGTGTCATTCACGGCCTGATTGAAGTAATCACACAGAGGGGAAGAGCAGATGAAGAGCCTGCTAAATGTGCAGAGGGGGGCCGGTCCTATCATTTGGGCTCAAGGATTTTGAGTTAAAGAATCAAAACTGGTGTGGGCAAGGCTTGTGTTTTCAGTCATTTTGTTTCATTTTGAGTCCTCAAAACCTCTAAGCAGGATCTGGGGCTCTGAACATTTTCCTGAGGAAAAAAAATTGCTTTTTAACCAAACACAGGGTCCCGTGACCATAGAATAGTGGTTAAATGTATATGTATCAAGGGGCAAGATACGAGAATGTAAATGGGGTGAGCAGGTGAGAATAAAAGGGGAAAGGCCTGAGTAGCTTGGTCCTACAAGAAGGTTCCCACTTCGCCCTGCCACACCCACACTCCAGACACCAGTCAGCAGTCCAGGTTGTCACTTGTGACCAACCAGCTGTAGATGGGAAGTTCCAACACCCCCTCTTTGGGTTTGATTAACTTGCTAGAGTGGCTCACAGAACTTAGAGGAACATTTATTTGAGTTTACTAGCTTATTATGCAGGATATTCTAAAGGATACAGATGAATAGCTAGGTGGAAGACCTGCATGGGGCAGGGTATGCGGATGGAACTTGGAACTCCCATCCTTTCCAGATGTACACACTCCTCGTGCTTCTCCGTGGTCACCAGCCTGAAGTTCTCTGAACCTTTGTCCTTCTGGGCTTTATGGAGGCTTCGTTACACAGGCATGATTGGTGAAATCATTGGCCATTGGTGACTGAACTCTATCACCAGCCCGTCTCCCCTCCCTAGAGGTCATCAGGGTGAGACTGAAAATTCTAATAGTGCCATTTTTTTTTTAAATTTTTATTTATTTCTAGGAGAGAGAGAGAGACAGCGCGAGCAGGGGAGGGTCAGAGAGAGAGGGAGTCACAGACTGAAACAGGCTCCAGGCTCTGAGCTGGCAGTCAGCACAGAGCCCGACGCGGGGCCCGAACCCACGAACCGTGAGATCATGACCTAAGCGAAAGTCGGACGCTTACCCGACTAAGCCACCCAGGCGCCCCGTGAGACTGAAAATTCTAACCACCCAATCAGGGCAGTTAGGTCAACAGTTAGTTCTGGCCATCCATCCGCATCCTTAGGCTACCTAAGGGCTTTCCCCAAATCTCCTAATTAACAGAAGACCCCCTTATCACTGTCATCACTTAGGAAATTTCAAAGGCTTTAGGAGCTCTATGCCAGGAACAGGGATGAAGACCAAATATAAATTGCTTATTATAAATTACAGTATTGCCACTAAGCTATTTAAGTGATTTGGTTGTTCTGGAAAAATGACAAATCTCATTCTCTTCCCGTCTTCTGCTCTTTGTGTGGCTGAGCCCCAGTAACTGAGTTCTCATTGTAGATTCACTCACTCGAGGCATGGACGTTACTTGAACAAAGAACATTCTGAACCAGCACTGGAAAAGGTATTAAAGGCATCTACTAATTACTTCTTATCTGTTTCCCTCAGGTACGGAACCCTGGTATTTCTACTTAATTAATGGATTCCTTAATTTTAATGTAGCCTTTGCTTTGGCTCTCCTGGTCTTACCGCTGACCTCTCTCATGGAACACCTGCTGCAGAGATTTCACGGTGAGTGGTGCAAGGGGTGAAAGGTTTTGGGAGGAAGGAGCCAGTGACAATGTATACCAAGAAGTGAAAATGAATCTACTTATTTTGTTCTCCATTTTCTTTCCATGGAAATGATTGGCTTATGGAAGTCAATCCATTCTGTATTTGTAAAATGTAGAATTTCATTCTGTATTTGTAGATTATTTAAACTTCTGTGATGATTCGGTTAATTGCAAGTTAAGCTGGCAAAGGGAGGAAGTTTCTATCCCTTTGAGGAAGTCGGTAGAGCATACAGAACCACCTAGGGAGGCAAAATCAGTCGTAAAATCTCAGGAGACAAAAGTATTTGAGTGTCTTGTGTTTGTTAAAAAGTGTGTGCTGATATGGATAACTGTTTTAGATGGTAAGTCGTAGAGGTAACTATTCCTTGGGAAATTACTTCAACCAAAAATTTGAAAACTAAACCACAGAGGGATTTCCCTCAGATTTGATACTGAAGTGAGAGAAGCTTTGGACTTCCTGAGAAACATTACGCTTCTCTTTGTTCCATGTTGCTTCTGTGTTTGCCTTATTATGGAGGGTTTGGTTTGTCATTTATTTTGCTTGTTCTGATTCCATACTGCACAGACCGTGTTTTCTCAAGTTGTCACAGATTTGGGTATCTGGTGCCCATGTTTCTTTTATGGAAGACAGATTTGAGCAGAAATTCATATGAGCTTTGGAAAGAGATTTAATTTCAGACTTTTTAGTCTGATTTGGATGGCATACGATCTCTCCGTCCCGCCCCCCAGTCTGCTCTTCTGCTATTAATGGTTTCTCGAGTTCACTGTGTTACACTATTCGAATATGAAAGCAGCCTCCAGTCACTCTTGTTTTGTTTTAACACACCCGTAATGCCGTTATCCTAACAAAGTCAGTACTTCCTTAATATTGCATACCAGTTGGTATTCAGGTTTCCTACACTGTCTGAAAAACGGCTTTTTATAGTTATTTAAAAGAGGATCTAAAAAGGGTCATATACTGAATTTGGTGTTAGGTTTCTTCAGCTTTTTATGAGGTTCCCCCCTCTTCTTATTTCTCCTGAAGATTCTAAAGAAATCAGGTCACCCATCTTGCATAGCGTCCCACATTTGGATTCAGCTGTTTGTCACCTGGGGGTATTAACCTAGTCCTCCATTCCTGGCGTGTCCTAAGGATCATTTTATCTTTTTTTTTCTTTTTAAGTAACTTTTTTTTTTTTTTACCTTAAAGATAATTTATGCTTGTAGAGAATTTGGAAATGCTTATGATGTAAGTATAAAAACAGCATATTAAGCTGTTCTCTACAGTATGAATCCAATTTTGTTTTAAAAATGTTTAATTTCCACACATGTCCACTTAGTAAAAAAAAAAAATTAGTGCTGTTTTTTCTTTATGCTTTTTGTGTATTTTGTAATAGAAAAGTGTACTTTTAAAGGAAAAAAACCAGAAAAATGTAAAGAAGCAGGAAAGAAGTTATCTATTTTCCCATCATGTGCTACAACTGTAGTTATGATTTTGTACATTTTATGAAGGAATTCAAACATGTTAGGCCATATTTATTTTATTAAAAAATTTATAAATCTTAATTCATTTTCTTTTTAAAAAAAATTTTAACATTTATTTATTTTTGAGAGAGAGACAGAGCATGAGCAGGAGAGGGGCAGAGAGAGAGGGAGACACAGAATCTGAAGCAGGCTCTAGGCTCTGAGCTGTCAGCACAGAGCCCGATATGGGGTTCAAACTCACGAACTGTGAGATCTTGACCTGAGCTGAAGTTGGCCACTTAACCGACTGAGCCACCCAGGAGCCCCTAAAATTTTTTTTAATGTTTGTGAATTTTTGAGAGTGAGTGAGATGGAGCACAAGTGGGGGAAGGGAGGGAGGGAGGGAGACAGAATCCAAAACAGGCTCCAGGCTCTGAGCTGTAAGCACAGAGCCCAATGTGAGGCTCAAACTGGTGACCCATAAGATTATGACCTGGGCCGAAGTCAGATGCTTAACTGACTGAGCCACCCACTGGCCTATTTTTAAAATAGGCCATATTTTAAAAATGTAGTTGTTAGCCTTTAAGATACAGAAGAGGATTTCATTTTTTTTGTAATCAGGAAAATTCCAGCCTAAAATACTTACTGGAAAGGTGTAAATCATAGATTATCGCCTAAAATCTTAAGGTAAAATCTTAGAGTAGGAAGTTTAAAGGATAAGCTTGGTATTTCAGTTAAAGAATTTTCATCCCTAAAGAGTTACTACAAAAATACTGATAACTTAGAAACACCAAGGTGGATCTTGAGGACAATGCTGAGCTTTCCTCTTCACTTGCTCATTGTAGACATACCACCAGGGGGCGCTGTCGATTTACCCATTGCCAGTGATTTGTAGGCACTGCTGATTGTCACTCATAGAAGCACAGTAGGGGATGCCGTCCTGGTGGGTTGCAGGTTGATCAGCGTTCATGTATCTAACCACAGGAACTTTCCAGCAGGTGCTTGGGTCGTAGTGCTCATTAAATTCCTTTAATTCTTTCACACGCTTTGAGTATATTTTGATTCAAATTTTAAGATTCAGAGTGGATGGGTTTTGCAAGAGACGAGAGCAAAATTCATCAAAAAACTTGCTTTAAGAGTGTTTTGATATTTGCTTTGGAACAGACTCTCTTGCCATTTGTAGCTTGACAAAAACCAGTGATGGGTTTAAGACTCCAACTCCTTTGATCTATAGCTATTTGGGCAGACCGGGTATATAAGAAATCTATTAAACAGAGCATAGGAATTAAAACCCAAGAAATGAGTTTATGTTAAGCTTTTGGTTAATCTCAGAGACCTTTAATCTTAGTGGCAGGACTGCCTGGGGAGAGAAGACTTTTCTTCTTTATCCAGTATAGAAATTATTAAGATTTATTACCCAGTCACTTGACTTTCCTTTGTGTTTCAGCCAAGTCCAGTATTGTCCCTCCCGTTAGAGGTTGGCTCTCTTGGGGGAGCTCAGGAGTATAGACCTCTTTCTACTTGACCCCTTTATTGCATCAGAGAAAGTGTGAATATGAGAACTGAAACATTTCTTGGGGTGCTGTAGGGTTATTCCTTTCTGAGATTGAGAGAACACTGAAACTAAATATGTTGTGTTATTCTAATATGGTGATAAGTGGATATTTTTCTGTGTCTTACAGTTCAGAATTTAGGTCACCCGTATTGGCTTACCTTGGCTCCAATGTATATTTGGTTTATAATTTTCTTCATCCAGCCTCACAAAGAGGAGAGATTTCTTTTCCCTGTGTATCCACTTATATGCCTCTGTGGCGCTGTGGCCCTTTCTGCACTTCAGGTGAGTTTCAGGGAATGTACATCTGCTTCGTTCCGTTTTTAAATTGGTCATAGAGCTTAAAGGCAAATTACAGAATGCTTCTTCCGAGATGCTTTATCCATACATTAAACCTGATACAGATCATATTAAAATAACTACAATTATTTATGTATTGGTTTCTTAGCTGTTGATCATCCTGTCTTAAGCTGATTACGTATTTACATTGTTAATTTGTGTGTTAATTTCTTACTGTTGCCAACCAGAATCCAAATGCTATGAAAGGAATTTTGTTAGGTCATTGTATAGGCCTGCCACAAGATGGTGGCAGCACGGCAGAGCATGGCATGTCTGCTCCTCAGCTCTGAGATCAGATGAAAACGAGCTCAAGTGTTGGGATAACCTCAGGCAGTTAGCAATAATGGACACTTTGTAAACCTGGCTTAAAAACTGTCCAGGTCAGTTCCTGTCAGAATTTATCTTGCATATATCTGTATTTGTGGCCTCAGAAGCCTCCAGGCTTTTTTTTTTTTTTTCCCCTTAAGTTTATTTATTTTGAGAGACAGCACACATGCACATGCTGATGACTGAGGGAAGGGCAGAGAGGGAGAGAGACAGAGGAACTGCTCGTGTGGAGCCGCACACAGGTGAGCCCACGAACTGAACCACGAGATCATGACCCAAACCCAAATCAAGACTCAGACACTTAACTGACTGAACTACCCAGGCACCCCTTCAGGCTTCTTTTTGACCTCTGCTACCATTTACAGTTGGCAGAGAAAGTAATTAAGGTGGCTTTTTTTCTTTTTCTTAACAGATCTATAGAGCTATAATTCACAAACCATATAGTTCATCTATTTAAAAACCATAGAATTAAATGGTTTTTAGTATAGTCACAGGTCTCTGTAACTATCACCATGGTCAATTTTATAACATTTTTATCACCTCAGAAGCTCTGTACCCCTTAGCTGCCATCACCCCCATCCCCTTTTCTCCTATCTCCCCAGCTATGAGCAACCACTGTCTACTTTCTGTGTCTGTGGATGTGCCCACGGAGTGCTGAGTGGAGTCCTAAAATGCATGGTCTTCTGTAACTGGCTGCTTTCAGTTAGCATCATGTTTTTTTTTGTTTGTTGTTTGTTTTAATTTTTAAAGGGTATTTATTTTTGAGAGAGCATGAGTTGGGGGGAAGAGAGGGAGAGAGAATGAATCTAAAGCAGGCTCTGAGCTCTTAGCACAGAACTCAGCGCGGGGCTCCAACTTGGGAATGGTGAGATCGTGACCTGAGCCGAAGTTGGACGCTCAGTCGACTGAGCCATCCAGGAGTCCCTAAAATCACTTTCTAAATTAGCCCTACTATCATAACAAAACCACCTCCCAGCATTTTTGCCTATCACATATCAGACTTGATTATGATTGTAATCTATGTGTACATATAACTTAATATCCCTTTTAATACAACTACATCATATCGTTTTCAGTGTTGCTGTATCTATACCCATCATTTGAATAGGAGTATTTTCTGAATTTGGTGTCATGTATAGCATTGTTACATGTGTAAAATACTGAACTAATTATACATAATGATTAGATATATAATTTATGGTAGGGTTAAGTTGCTTACCTATTTCAGTATTATAAATAATGCTAGGATGAATATCTTTCTTGAGGTATTTGGATTGTTTCCTTAGGACAGATTCTCCCAAATATGAAAGGAGTTCAAACACATTGATGGCACTAACAGATATTTGCAATAGATTATAAAATTGCTTCCCAAAAGTAGTTCTAGTCTAGGAGGGAAAGAAAGAGAAAGAAATCTAATGGGGAGGTACTCAAAGACTGTAGAAATTTTGCATGTATTTATATACTGTAATAGTAATCATGTAGTTTGTAAAGTAGTTCAGATAATTAACAGCATTTTCCTGTTGTTCTGTGGGAGGAATTCTTGTGTTTGGTCATGAGACATGTTGATACTAAAAACTTTGATGAAAACACATCAATGAAGAAAGTGAAGATTAATACTTGTTACATCAAAATAGAGATACTGCATATATCAAAGCGAACTGCCAAAAAGCACTTTTGTTTTTATTTATTTAAAAAAGATGTTTTCTAAGTAGGCTCCACACCCAGTGTGGACCTGACCCCATGACCCTGGGATCCAGAGTTTCATGCTCCACTGACTGAGCCAGTCAGCCGCGCCAGCACTTCCATTTAAATATTTTAAGAAATAATAAATTATTAGGACTTTCTAAGTACTAGAGAGATCTCCATATACTTTTCCTGTGAAGCTGGTGAGAATTCCTCTGGTTGGGGTGACCTGTACATAGTCTTACCAGAGCTTGCTTTCGTGTTAGGATTTGGAGTGGGCACCTCATGGTCGGCAAAGGCTCAGACCCTTGATAGAACCTCTTTTGCTGCTTCTTCCCCTCTTGGTGTTACGATGTTTTATGATCGTGTTCTGTATACTCTGCAAGTTCCTTTTTATTTTTTTTTTTCAATACAGTGTTCTTTCCTTCTAGAAATGTTACCACTTCGTGTTTCAGCGATACCGTCTGGAGCATTACACTGTGACGTCGAACTGGCTGGCGTCAGGAACGCTCTTCGTGTTCGGGCTCCTGTCCTTTTCCCGCTCTGTGGCATTGTTCAAAGGTAGGGGCACACAGTGCCCTTGCTCACAGGGCCCTTCACCGTGGGTTTTGCTGGATGTGTGATTATTACGGTTCAGCTTTAAGTGGGAGGAGGACTTTGCTATTTAGGAGAGCCTGTGGACTTCATACTGTGATTGGAATGTGACTTCTCTAAGATGAAAGAGAAGATTGACCCTTCCTTTCAGGGGGATTAACTATAAAAGCTCTTCTTTTATTCTTGTGTGTGTGTGTGTTTTGTTTTTGTTTTTTTTTTTTTTTTTTAGAGGATGCTTTTTCATTTTGAAGAATGAAGGAAGCCTTAAACATTGGAAGCAAATTTGGGGCTCAATTCCCATGATTATCTTCTGCCTATAATTATTATTTGGATCCACAAGATTAAAATGTACTCAAAGAACAGAAATTAAAAAGGCAGAAGGGTGCAGAGAAGGGCAAGAAAGCAAATTATATTTGGTAAAATAGGGCATCTGCTGTGATCATCCTCCTAACTGTGGACAGCTGTGTGTCAAGGGGGCCACGTGCCTGCCGCCGTTGCTGGGGACCTGCACACTTGTAAACTACACATGGATTGCAGTGGGACGTTAGCGTGCATCATGATTAAATGTCAGCCTCTCATCTTACATGTCTTCAGCTTTCACAAACCTTTGTCCCTTTCAGGGTATCACGGGCCGCTTGATTTGTATCCAGAATTTTACCGAATTGCCACGGACCCGGCCATCCACACTGTCCCAGAAGGCAGGCCTGTGAATGTCTGTGTAGGAAAGGAGTGGTATCGATTCCCCAGTAGCTTCCTTCTGCCTGACAAGTAAGTTGTCCTCAGGTCCCCAGAGTTTAAAATCAAGGAATAAAAATGGCAATTCTATGGCAGTGTCTCCCTAAGTTTGCTTTGATTTTGGGATTTTCACAAAAAGGTTTTGAACAACTGGCCATTTCTGAGCTGTGAGTCTGTGCTGTGTCCAGGAGACTGAGCGCTGTGTCCGGCTACGCACCCTGCACTTTCTGTGACCGCGGACGTTTGGGAACTTGTAAAAGCACTTTGGGCCCCAGGCTCTTGCTCATGGCTCTTCCTCAGGATGCATATTTAATTTTTTACAATCTGGTATTAATCTGCTTCCAAAAGTGGTCCAGAGACTCTAGCTGGAAGGGTATTGTTAAAGGAGAAATGTTTGTCATTCAACAAAAGTGTAAAGTTCTTTACCAAAACGTGGACACTAGGGAAAGCTGTCGTTCAGCTCTCTGTAGCTTTATGCTGTCATTGGACGATCGCATAGACTCTGAAAGTCTTGTGCTGGCTGCACAGGACAGAGAAAGTCCTAGAGGAAAGGGACGTCAGGGTCAGATGAGTCCTGTTGCTCCGCTAGGGGACTGGCACGGGCAGCTTGGCTGGGGGAGGTATTTTGTGTGTAGTGAAGATCCAGTATCTGTCATTAGTTACATTAAAGTGTTTTCTTTTTAAGTATTCACTTTAGCCTTTGCCTTTAACATTTGAAATAGTTTCATAACTAAAGATACTTTTGAGAATTAGCCAGGAGCAAAATACTTCTCCCATAGTGTGTTCTCACATCTTACTCTTTTCCTGTCTGATGAATTTGGAGTGACTTAATTTCAGCAAGTCCCTCTTACATAATTGGTAAGTAATTGGTGGTAAATGGCATGGTTCTCTGTTCAGTGGTATGTCCGTTTGGTTGCAAGTTTGACTAAGAGTTGGTGAAACTGATAGATCTCTTGCTGCAAGTTTCTCACTGATGTTGGACTGAGTTACGACTTCTGCTCCCTGGTGGAGGTTTTAGCAGAAATATTGTTTCTCCAAGTGAAATGTTTTTCACATGAATTGGTGGGGGCGGGGGGAGGCTTGTTTATTTCAAGTACATTTAGCAACATGGGCCCCCTGGGTTTTTCTTAATCTCTCTTATTTGTGTTTCTGACAGTTGGCAGCTTCAGTTCATTCCATCAGAGTTCAGGGGCCAGTTACCAAAACCTTTTGCAGAGGGACCACTGGCCACCCGGATTGTTCCTACTGACATGAACGACCAGAACCTGGAGGAACCATCCAGATACGTGAGGGCAACATTCTCCTTTTACTACTCGGAAAAAAGTTCTACCCCTAAAACCTGTTGGCACACATCTTAGAGCATCGATAAATGGGAATTTCCTAGAAAGTGATTTCTTTAGGGAAAGGGACATAACGAGTTTTTTGAGGAAGAATAGCAGTACTTTTATTTTAAAATTTCCCTTTGTTTTCTATGTGAAACTCGTAATTCAATGTATTTTCTAAGCCGGTCTGGAAAGTTTGTTGCATTGCATTCGAATCATCAAGTTGAAACACGTTCTGAAACTCTTCTCATCCCCTGGCCTATTAACACATTTGGTGGGGAACTTTCAAGTTCTCAGGAACAGTGGGCCCAACTGTTAGTATATTCTGGTTTTAGCAAGTGGGCAGTCGTGAGTGCAGGCTGTGCTCGTGCTGAGTGCATGGGCACCCCGTCAGGATTGTGTACCTCTCCTCATGCATCTTCATGTACTCTGAGATCCCACGTAGTTTTCTTTCAGTTCCTTTGAAAGAGGAAACTTGCGTCCTTTGATACTTGTAAAATCCTTCGTGGTAGAAAAGGTGAGAGCAATAAAGATAATGTTCCTGATTCCCAGAGACAGTAGAAGGGTATTTTATTTTATTTTATTTTTTATTTTTGAGAAAGAGAGAATGAGCAGGGGAGGGTCAGAGAGAGAGGGAGGCACAGGATCAAGCAGGCTTTAAGCTCCGAGCTGTTAATACAGAGCCCGACGCCGGACTCTAACCCACAGACCGTGAGATCATGACCTGAGCCGAAGTTGGACGCTTAACCAACTGAGCCACCCAGGCACCCCAGAAGAGTATTTTCTAGAATTACTAGAAAGCACATTGTTTTTGGGAACGTGTCTTTCAAAGAAACATTGAACGATGTAGATGTCAGATACATTTTGTTTAGCTTTTCCCATGTACTCGGTATGTGAAACGAGGCAGGGGGCTTGTGGTGGTATGGCATGCCCTGCAGCCTCCTGTGGCTGTGCGTCTCCCAGACAGAGACCCCCCAGGGCCGAGGAGTGAGATTCTTCCTGAGGGTGTTGTAGCTGTAAGCTGGGAGGTGGCCATTGTAACCTACACACTTGGCCTGGTCCCCTCAGAAGGTGAGATCTGTATTCCACCAAGTGGTTTATTATAGAGCTTTCTTTGTAATCTTCTGAGCTTCTGATTTCCGTAGCATTGAAAATACTCCGGGACGGCGTAAACTACTTTTGGTCAATTTTGTTTCAGCTGTGGGCACTCTCCCGACAGCAGGCTGGGATGCGCAGGGGATCACCCTGAGGAAACTGGGTAGTCAGAAGGGTGGGTGTACACTGCACAGTAGAGGAAGATACAGATTCAGAGTAATGTTGTCCAGCAATGTTTTAGGCAGAAGTGACATGGAGCTAGTAGTAAAAAGGAGCATGGACTTGGGAGTCAGGTAGGCCTGAGTTCAAATCCCAGGTCTGTTATCTTGGTGACATTGGGCAAACTGTTCCACTAATATTAGTTTCTATCTAGAAACTGGGAATAATGACACCCACTTCGGAACATTATAAAGAGATGAGATATCTGTCATAGTTAGCACAGTATCTGGTACATGGGTTTTCACACAAATGTTCTTAATCGATAATGGTCTATCACATGGATTAGAGGTAAGGGAACCCTAAAGAGGTTTTATAATCTGCATGAATCTCTCCGTCCTTACTTCTCTTGTTCTCCAACTTGAGTTTTGTCTGCTCACCCTCATCATTGCCTTTTCCATCCCAATAACTTTGCTTATTTTGGTCTGCACCACCCTGCACCACCTTGGTCTCCTTCCTCCTGCCATCAAAACTCTCTTCCTCTTGGTAGGCTTTTCCAGCTGTTTAAAACCATAGTGAGCTGTGCTCCTTTAAATGCCTTAAATACTTACCTGTACCATTCATTTAGCCATTTAATTTTGTCTTACGTTATTTATGTGTTTCTGATAATGTATGTCCTGTCGTTCCCCATCAGCCTGTGCGTGCTGTGAAGAGAGTCCTGGTTTTTTCTTTATTCAGCAGAGCCTCTGGGACAGTGCTGGGCCTGCTTTCTGAGTGGAAAACAAACATTCCTCATCCCTGGGACAGCGATGTTGAGAGAAAGCTGCTAAAAAATTTGCAGTGGCCTTTTGCACATTTCTTAGGCTTTTGGTTACTGGGTGTCTGTGGTTAGATCCTATTTCCATACCCTGTGCCACCAGACATTGTTACATTTAGTTAAGTGGCTCTATGTTAGCTTTACCCAGAAAGCGAAGATTTTTCAGAATACATTGAGGAGTCATCAAAATACTGTCTGATAAAAACAGGGACAAACATGTCAGATGTATCTACAGAGTGTGTACAGTCATCCACCTTCCTATGTTGGAGAGTTTTCTGCAAAGTTCTTTCTGACGTTGCTTGCCTGGTGGGGCAAGTGCCCTCCAAATCCAGGCTGCTCACCTTTCACCCTTTGGAAAGTAGAAGAGACATTTGACGGCTTACTGTGAATTCTGTGTCACTGAGGGTCAGGGATTTGTGTCTTCTAGTCAGCTGTTTAAAAAGCTAGCGGTTTTCCCCTGTTGACAAAAGTAATATACATTCATTGTATAAAATAATGAAAGCTATTGATAAAAAGTCCTCTATAATCTTCTTACCCAAATACTGAACCACTGTTAGCATTTTGGTAGGGTTTTTTTTTTTGTTTTGTTTTTTTACTTTTTTCTTGTGTGTGTGTGTGTGTGTGTGTGTGTGTGTGTGTATACACACACACACACACACACACACACACACACACACACACATATATATAATGTCACTTATTTTTTAAGCGTTAATGTTGTAGTTTTTTAAGAAATGGTGCCAGGGGGTTCCTGGGTGGCTCAGTCGGTTAAGCGTCTGACTCTTGATTTTGGCTCAGGTCATGATCTCACCGTTTGGTTTGTGGGATTGAGCCCCACATTAGGCTTCGTGCTGACAATATGGACAATATGTAGCCTGCTTAGGATTCTCTCCCTCTCCCCCTCCCTCCCTCTCTCCCTCTCTCCCTCTCCCTCGCCCCTCCCTTTCTCACATGCATGCATACATACTCTCTTTCTCAAAAATAAATAAAAATACATTAATAAAAAAATGGTACTGGGATCATGTCTACAGTGGCCAGATAACTTGGCCCAGTGTATAGGAGCACGTGCTGTACTATGTTAACTTTTGCCACTTCAGGTATGAGTCCTAGTTTTAAGTTTAGGTTCTTTCAAGAAGGCAAAATAATGTTCTATGTCTTTTCTGAGCATGCTCAATAGCAGCGCCGTTGCTATCTGCCTATTGGCGCCGAGTGACAGGTTTTAGCCAGCCTTCCACTTTGGTGCTAAGTGATTTGGTGTCTCCTATTTCTAGTTTGCATGGAAACTAGGAAACATGCATGACTTTCTTTACTCTGCTAGCCTCCTTAACCTCCGAGTTTATCCAGAATAAGCGTAAAGGCTCTGTGATTTCTAACACAGTGTTAGAAGTATATTGCAGAAATATTTTTTTGCTCCATATTCTTTCATAGTAGGCATTGAATAGCTTTTGAATATGTCATTATCGAACAGGTGGCATTCTTAGACTGGAACATGCCAGGTTTTCTGCCAGAATCAAGCTCTGAATTGAAAAGATACATTTAGTGTCTCCTCTTCATTACTTTACAAATGCAGTGTTTTGTTGGCTCTTTCAAAGAGAATGCTTTCCTTCTGACTCCAATCTGATAACCTGATGTGGGAGCTACAGGAAGGAGTAACCAACACCTGTTCAGGAGGGAACTGAGACTTTTCTCTGATTTTTAACTTCATGCATAAGCAGACTCATAAGAAGCTTGTCCATATGTTATCTTTAAAAATATGCAAGTGTTCATTGATGACTTTTCCCCAGACAGTGATACAGTCAGTTCTGCTGTAATGTGATACACAATTGCTAAAAATCATTGTGTAGTAAAAAGAGGAAAAAAAAAAAAAACCCCACAAGTCTTATGGGAAAACTGGGATTATGGATACAGTACTCAAAAACTTCGTGACTCCTAAAAAAAAAAAAAAAAAAAATGAGCCTATAAAAAATGGTAGCACCATTTCACATATGCTAAGCAGCTAACAGTCCCTAAGTACTACAAGCATGTGGGAGTTGACCCTGAAAAAGACCTGAAGTTTGCTTGTGGTGCTGGAAGGGCTGCCGCTTGTGCGGCAGGGAGAGGGTACTCTGCAGTAGGACAGAAAGTCCTAACCCCAGATGCGGGGATGTGTGTGGCTCGGAGCACACGTGCACCCCAGAAGCTGGGGGACAGCGGTATGTGCTCCTGTGCGCTTGGCGTCCTGCCCCGATCAATTCAGTCGAATGCAGTTTTCCGGATTCACTTCGTGTTTCTCGTGGAGCAAATGCCACATGAGCAAAAGCAAAAACTGAATTATGCTCCAACTGTTTCCTAATTTATCCATTGCATTGGAACAGATTTGCATCTTCAAAGCAAGTGTTACAACAGAATTGACGAGGTATTGAGTCAAAGCTTTCCTTATTTTGTTCCTCAACTCCCTGCTTTTCCCTTTAACCGGGAGAAAGAATTCTGAATTTAGAAGGGAACTCAAGGTACCATAGAGCCGCTGATGTGCTCAGAGAGGTTGTCACCTGACCGAGGTTGGCCGAGTGTAAGAGGCTACGTGCGGGACGCCCCGGTGTGCTCTGCACAAGTCCTCTTACGTCCAAAACCATGTACGGTCTCTGTCATGTGGCATGTCGTTGGAGTGTATGTTTGCACATAACAGATCATTCTCTGATGTAACAGGATTGAATAGGCTATAAATAGCTGAGCATTAATTTTTTAAGAAGTTACTTTAAGCTTCTAGAGCTGGTGTTTAAAGTAGCAATTACTTTGTCTGTAGAAGTCACCAGGGTCCCCACTCCCTTTTCTGTCCTTTTTCTCAATCTTCCTTCCTACTCTCTTTTTTTCTTAAAAGTTTATTCATTTATTTAGAGAGAGAGAACTTTGTAAGTGG